GAGAATGGCCAAGTGGTTAAATGGGATCGCGATGGTAGCGCCGCGCTGGAACCCCACGGAGCCAATAGTGGCCGACTCGGACGGTCCAAGGCTCTTTGTTGAAATGAAGGCCGTGTCCGTCAGCAATTTTTAGCTCGGCAGTGGCCGTAATTTGCCGTCCCTGCGCATCTGCATCTGGTCCCCGTCACGGATGGTCACCCAAGCAGCAAGCAATGTCCAAACGATGGCGGGTACTTTGTGCGAATACAAACCTCGCTTCGTTGGGGATATGCTGTGCTGCGTTCGAGGGGTCTGGTCTGGGAAGCTGGCGGGCTAGAGTCAGCCGCAAGTCCTCTTGGCAGGTCTAGAGTCTTGATGGACACGCGCTCAAACGGAGCTGATGATGGAGTGTCGTTTGGCGTTTGGCGTCTGGACTCTGAATGCTGAACTTTCGAAAGACTTGATTGGGGAAGCCGTAGGGTCAGCAATGTGTGCCTATTTCCAGGCCAACAGTCAGGACCGGACGGTGGAGGGGATTTAATGTATCCTGTTCTTACGCTGTGGTCCTGAGAATCTCGAGAGGAAAGAAAAATTCCCGTAGGTGGCCTCTGATCATGAGAGGCAGGGGAACGGCCCCCTACATCCCCGTCAGTCCCTGTCTGTTGTCCGAGACTGGGCCTGGCGGCAGCTAGGATTATTTGGATCAAATATGCGGAATGGGTCCAAGTCAAGGGCCTGTGGATCTCCGATTGATTGGCAGTTGCACAGTGTCGGGCGGCTGTTGTTTCTGATTGTCATGAGAATGGTCTCTTGTCGTCTCCTACAGTGGATCCATCGTGCCGGCCTCAGTCGAGTCTTCTTTGAACGACTTCTCCTTTCCAGGTCCGCTACCGTTACGACGACAGTAACGCGGCGCGCCCCCCAGAAAGGAGAATCCTGTATCCGTATCCGTACGGTTATCGAGTGGCGCCACGCCTTGAGAGTCAAGATACAATATCCATGGGCACAAGTCAACTACAAGATACAGATTGGCGCAACCGAGTGAACACCAAGACCGCGCTACGGGAGGGAGGCAGAGTCCGAAACATTTGGCTGCTTGCCCTGCATTGTCATGTCCATGAAGCACAAGAAGCACGCCTAGGATAAAAGGAGACAACCTAGCGGTGACTGGCAGGACAGGCAGGTTACAGTACGTCTATCTACTGACACAAATGGAAATACATGGCGTCGCCTCTGCACAGTCTCGCAGGACGCAGGCGCAAAGGCCCTCAGGCTGGCCGCCGCATATCATTGCCCGGCCTCACTTGGCTCACAACTTGATGAATGCTGGGCGAACTCTGAATGAGAGCGCGCCATCGAGTCCATGGAAGACGCGACACACTCACACGCAGTACCTCTCACACCCAAACCGTTGTGCCCATCCATCAGCGCAGCCAGTTGTCGTGCGACGAGTCCAATGAAGCCTTGGGATAAGGTGCGCAGACTGATCGACACTCCCGCTCTGGATAAATCTTGCTTAGACGGTATCTTGCTTGAGTCACATGGTTTTAAAGAGGATGCAGCTAGCAGGACTAGCGGCACATCTGGACGAGGAAGCGTAAGGTAGCGTACTGGCCCCCCATTTTCTCCATCGTGGCCCTATGGCGTGGTCGTCGTTTTGATAGGGGACCACCTTGGCTCCTATTCTTTCCTCTTCCTGTCCCCTTCCAGGCTTCTCCCCTTGCCTGCAAGCCCACACACTCTTTGGCCATGTGGATCTTTGGCTCCAAGGGTTTTCTGCTTTAACGAGGGACCGGCCATGTCGCGCTCCCCTTTGAAAAAGTGACCTAACAGGACAAAGGCGCGTGTCGCAAAATAGTGAGAAATCTAGCGTAGACCCTCTCTCCGAAGTTCGAGTCCCGTTTTGCAGCCGTAGTAGGCGAGCGTGGTGGTCCCTCAAAATTGCCAAGTTCCAACGACACACGCAAATCATTCGGGGGCTTCTAGCGATGTGCTATGGAAGAGACTAGTGGACGAGGTTAAAGGAACGGCACTGGGCTGGGCTGAGGGCGCGGAAACGGTGGAATGAACAGTACAGTCTGAGAAGACGGGAGATTCCCTCCAGAACGGAGGGCGGAATATGAAAGGCGACGGTATGGAAGGCAACCGCTACAGGTTGCCCAGCCATGCCGGCACTTGGCCGCTCGTCACAACGTTTCCCATGTGTTCGTGTAGGGCACAGGGAGACGGCCCATCCGGCGAACGAGAAAACATTTGGAAGACGGTCTACGAAACGTGAGAGCGATCGATCGGCTTTATGTGCCTACGGCGAGTATTTTGTGTCTTTTTAGGTACTGTACCGGGCGAGTATCGGGCAGCCAACCAAGCAGTCCTGAAGCTCTCGTCTGGTTCTCATTGCTACCCATCCATTCTCCGAGGTGGTCGTGGGCGATGCGTTGTGTTTGCATGGTGGACACACCTCTACTTTTGGTGGTGTCGCGATTTGCCCTGCAAAAAGCTTGCCTATGCAATGCACGAGAATGGAGCGCATTCAACGGCATCACCCTCGAAAGGGTGGGCGGCCGCAATATGACGTCCGTCATGGGCTTGCTGCAGGACATCACGCGAGTTTTCTGGCCGGGAGAGAAGACATTTTGAAGTGAATCTGTTTTAGAATCAATATGCCACATACACGTAAGGACTGCTTGTTTTTGCTTCCTACTTTCCCGAGAAGCCTCTCGTTTCTATTTTTCACTCAATTTTTGTTGTTTTGTTTTCTAAGCAGTGTGTGTGTGTGGGAAAAGGTGAGGAACCATGGAAGTTTGGTACTGCGAGCCTGTGGTGCAAGAGCATCGTATCCTTTCCATTCGTTCATGCCAGCCTTCGACATCCCCTCATCCACTTTTCGATCGTCACGGTCTCGAGGTCTGGCCATCGAATGTAACGGTACCCAATGCTCCTTGGATACTTCCAACACTTTTAGCACTCTCGGAGAGGGATACGGACGGTGAACCAGAAACGGTCCAGGGAGAAAGTAGCGGTATCAGGAGAAGAGGCCTGGACTGAAGATTACAGTGCGACATGAGTCACCAAGAAGGGAACTTTATTACACACACATCCCGCCGGTGACAGGAGGCCGAGCGAAGCCTCCCAGAGTCAGGTAGTCAGCGCCAGCCGGTTCAACTAACAATACTCCTAGTAGCGGAACTGCGACGTCTGCTTTGCGAGTTCTGCGAACGTGGACGGCCGCCGTCGCGGGCACCCCTTTTTTCTTCGTTTCCCTTTCTAATCCATACCTTATCTGGCTGGATGGAGACAGTCTGTTGGATTCCGTAAAAGGGACCCGGCCGGGTGCTAGGTTCCAGGCCCGGGTTCAGCGCGTATCGAAATCACCCAGCCATCTCGTTTTGGTCCACTGTGAATTTCGATAATTTGTTGGTCGCGTACGACAGAACGAAAGAAAAAAAAAAAAGGTCTAGAAAGAAAAAAAAAAAAACGAATAAAACGGTTGCTGGGCCGTCGGGGTGCGGCGGCGTACAGAAGGGAGCGGGAGTCTACGGCGGCTACGATGTTTCAACACCGGTTGGTTTGGTTCTCTTGTTCTCGTTGTTCCCATTCTTTCCAACAACAAGAGATACAATGGATTGCCCGTGGTTGAAGGTACGGATGCCTTATCCTGTACGGATAGTAGCGTCGTCGCATCGGAGGGGCAACCGGCGAACTACTTTTCTCTCTTTCTCTCTACTACCTTTCTGGGCGCGTTGCTGCGTAGCTGCTGCGTATTAGAGAGAAGAAGCAAAGAAGAAAAAAAAAGATTCATTCAGAAAAAAGATTAACAAATGAATTAGGACAGCCACTAACGTCTGGGAATGGCGGCGGGAGTGGGTCATCCATGGCATGTTCCCGGCAAAGCAGCAGGGTCCAGGCAGGGAATGGCGAGGCATGGACATGAATGTCCATGTACCTCTGTACTACACCCCTGGCGCTGTCCAAAGTGTGGAAAGGCTCGTCCTTGTACCCCCCCTGTCCGTCTTTTGCATCTTGCTCGTCCTGCACTCTCTTTTCTTTCTGGGCTCCCATGTAATATCATCTTGTATACCGCAGTACGTATCTAGGCGCGGCGACTGGGTCACGTACTGCTACATGCGAGTCTCTGGCTAGCTCTCTACATTACCAATACGGTTCTCTCACTACTTCAGTCTCTCTCTCTCTCGCGCCTTGCACACACGATACGACACGAAGCAGCAGAAGAAGAACGCAACACGCAGTTCGTTCCCAAGCACATGCAGCTAAAGGTAGGGCAGGGTACCTGAGGTATTCCGTACGGGTCTGGCAATTTCGTCCCACTCGCTTGCGCGCAGCACGGGCCAGCACGCGACGTTCAGTTCGTTCTCCTCTGACTCTCTGGCAACGCAACTGAGAGCGGGAAACACGCCAAAAAATCATAGCGACAGGGGATGAGCTACCAGATGCCATGCCCCACCTACCATTTTAAGGTACAAGTACGTGTACCTCGTTGCAAACATTGAGGCACTCGCTCCTGCTGCTGAAAGTAGGGGAAACTAAAGTACCTTATCTTCTTGCTAGACCAGGGCATCTCGTACCTCGACTGGAGACTTGATTGTATCCCATTTCCATTTCCCGAGATGCGCATCGCAACCACCAGTACGGAGTTGCACCTCAACATGGAGATCAGGTAAACCGCGTATAACGAGTAGAGAGAGAGAGGCAGAGAGTTGCTCAGGGTACGGAACAGAATGGACAGAAATAAGCTGACCAGAAAAAAGAAAGGTACATAAGTGATGCCATACGCATTACGCAGTATTGAATGATAGGTGCAGCAGCCTCAGGTAGGTGTGTAAGGTACCCAAGGTAGAGAGTAAGGTAGGTACATTGGTGACAGGGCCGCGACAACGAGGGAAAGTACCCCCACTAAAAAGTATCCGTTTGGAACGGCTTCTTTCCCGGACCCCTGTCCTTCATCGCATGCTTGTTGAACCTCACACACACCACACTCACCACTCACCACTCACACACACACACCTTGGACCTCTCTCGTCCTCCTCACTTTCCTTTGCGCCCAAGCTCTCCAGCAGACCAGCAGACCTCCCATCCTCGTCGCACTTGCCTGCGCTCTCTCATCAAGCTCAGACGACCACTCTGACTGGCCCATTGCGACCCCTTCTCCCTCTCTCGAGTCTCTACCCCCATCGCTTTACATACCGTCTGATCGTACGGTACTTCGTACCCACCATACGGTCTACGGATACCTCACAGTCTTACACCGTATCGCATTCCCACCGTTCTTGTCCAAGCCATCTACCGCTCATCAACCTCCCACGCCAGTGCCGCCGTCTACCTAGACTGACACTGACTGACACACTTCCACTCATCGGTCGTTCTCTGTCTGTCTGTCTGCCCAGCTACCCACGCCTCCCTCCTTCCTTCCTCAAAGTAGGTACCTACACGCACACTCCAAGGTACCTCACCTCTCTCCTACCCGGGGGTAGCCACTCACGACGGGCCCACGCCTCTTTTTTCCTCCTTCGCAAGGGACTGACTGGACCGTGTGAGCCTCCATCAACCGGGCCTCCTGGCAAGGGCAAAGCCTCTTCTCGTCACCCTCTCGCAAATAAGTACCCCCAGCAACCCGCTCTACCTCCCGTTTTTCTTCTCTCCCTTTCCCGTCTTTCCTCTGCCACCATTTACAGGTCTTCTTTTTTTCTTGCCATTATTCCCCAGAAGAGGTTCTATTGAACTCTTTTATACCCAAGACCTAACACCCACCCCCACGACACGACCAATACAGTACTTTTAGTAGTGCTTTTCTAAAAGACCTTTTCATTGTGATACCCAAGTCTACCGCCTGACTTTTTGATACCCAATTCCCCTTTCTCAACACCACACATCATACACAATGGCCGAAGAACAGAAGCCCGTCGAGGTCCCCAAGGAGACTGTCCCTGCCACCACCACCGCTGAGGCCCCCGCCGCCGAGACGAAGCCCGTCGAGACCACGGAGACTCCCGCCGCCGCCCCTGTCGCCGCCGAGACTGCCACCGAGACCCCGGCTACCACCACCGCCACTGAGACACCTGCTGAGGCCGCTGCCACTGAGGCTGCTGCCCCCGTTGAGGAGGCCAAGAAGGAGGTTGTCCCCGTCGAGGAGGGCACCCTCGAGCACAAGGGCATTAACTTCCCCAAGTAAGTATAAGCGCGCTTCAAGACCATCGCGTCGCATATGCTAACGGCTATCCTCCAGGAACTTCATCTACTCCAAGGAGTTCTTCTGGTTTGGATCCGATGCTGTTGAGTCCAAGAACCTCTCCTCCTACCTGAAGAGCGAGAAGTCTACCGAGACTGCCCACCACAACGCCGCCTGGGCCTCCCACACCGGCAAGGGCCTCCTCTTCTTCGGCGACAAGACCGCTCCCCAGGGTGTCATCAACTTGGTATGTTTAACACTATGACTTACACCCAAAACATCAGGCTGACGACTATTCTCTAGGCCGATGCCTCCGAGCCTGCTGCCGATGGCGCCAACAAGTTCCACTTCACCGCCAAGGGCCACAAGCACACCTTCAAGGCTGCCAACGCCGAGGACCGCGACAACTGGATCTCCCAGCTGAAGCTCAAGGTCGCCGAGGCCAAGGAGCTCGCTTCCACCGTCACCGAGACTGAGGCCTACAAGACTGCTCTTGAGGCTTTCAAGCCCGCCAAGAAGGAGGAGAAGAAGGAGGAGAAGGCTGTCGAGGCCCCCGCTACTGAGGCCGTTGCCGCCACCGAGACTCCTGCTGCTGAGACCGCCGCTGTTCCCGCCGCTGAGGAGGCCGTTGTTGAGACTCCCAAGGAGGAGGAGGTCAAGAAGGAGGAGCCTAAGCGTCGCTCTGCCAGCCGCAAGCGTGCCTCTATCTTCGGCAGCCTGCTCGGCAAGAAGGAGGAGTCCAAGAAGGAGGAGAAGGAGGAGACTCCTGTTGTCCCCGCTGTCGCCGAGACCCCCAAGGAGGAGACCCCCGCTGTCCCTGCTGCCACCGAGACCCCCGTCGCTGAGGTCCCCGCTGTCGAGGCCCCCGTCACTCCCGCTGCTGAGACTCCTGTCGCCGCTGCTACTGAGACCGCCGCCGAGGACAAGCCCGTCGAGGCTGCCAAGGAGGAGAAGAAGCCCCTTCCCACCAAGCGCAACAGCATCTTCGGTGTCTTCGGCAAGAAGGAGAAGAAGGCTGCCGCCGCTGCTGAGGCCGAGACCCCCGCCCCGGCCAAGGAGACCGAGGTTACTCCCGCTGCTGAGTCCGCCCCCGTCATCCCTCCCGTTGAGGCCACCACTCCCCTCGCTGTCGACGTTGCCAACCCTGGCACCGTTCCCGTCGAGAACAAGGAGGTCACCCCCGCCACCAACGGCGAGCCCCGCCCCGACCTCAAGGAGAAGCGCAAGTCTTCCCTTCCCTTCGGCTTCGGCAAGCGTGACAAGTCCCCTGCCAAGTCCCCTGCCCACTCCGACAACGAGGAGGCCGAGAAGCAGGAGAAGACCAGCGCCTTCTCCAAGCTCCGTGCTACCATCAAGGGCCGTGGCAAGACTGAGAAGCCTGCCGACAAGCTCGACAAGACTGAGGAGAAGCCCGAGGAGACCTCCGCTGTTGCCACCGAAACTCCTGCTGCCGAGACCTCCAAGGCCACTGAGGAGCCCGAGAACAAGCCCGAGAACGTCGCTTCTTCCACTCCTGCCCCCGTCACCGCCGCCGCATAGAATGCGAGATGGGGTTCGCTGTCTCTTCGTCGCAAGAGCCAGCGTCGGTCGTCATGATCAACTGAATGAAGCAAAAAACACATAACAAAACGCCACAAAAAAAAGTGCAATCGCATCGGATCGAGATTCGGAGGAAGAGCAACATCACGTGACAACTCATTTCACTTGGATGGGTTTGTCTGGAATCGGATCTGCATTTCAAGATACCCCGTCAAGACTGGTTCTACCTGATACCCTTTCCTATTTCCCTCTTTACACAGCACACGCATCGGAAGGCGAAAACTGGCGGGAGGTGATTCCGTTCCACTTTCAGTCGTTTCGAAGTCATTTCTGCTCATTGTTTTTTTGTTTTGATTTGTTTTCCACAAGTATCCTGCTTTGATGCTTTGATACCCAGTTATACCCGTCGCTCCAGACAAGAACACGAGAAGAAAATACCCACGACAAAAAATCCGAAGCGCCTTGGTCCGACAAATGGACGGACCTCTTGCGTGTGTTGGTTCATATCGGGCTAGGGTCAGGAATCGTCAGATTTGAGTTTGGAGATGCTGTTGGTGGAAAAAGACTGCATGGAACCGTCTGTGCTGGCCACTAGGGCCGGTGTCAGCTTGTTCGCATTCACTTAATACTTAATAGAAGCTCGTTGCGTGTTGTCTAGAATCGTGTGTGCGTTCCCCTTGATCTCTTGCGCCATGTGACACTTGTGACATGTGAGTCAGTTTCCTTGTGGCTCGGTCTTGTTCGCTCTGGCATGTACACGTAACTCATGTCAATCAGGCCCGTCCGCGTCCTCGACGTTTTGACGTACAAGTCTAGTTTCGATAACGGTCAGTTAGTTATTGTGTCTAAGCATGACCAGGTCCAAGCTCACTCACTTTCAACTCCGTACCCCGATCCTTTTTCACCACGCGAGCTCCGTCCGGATCGACGAGACTGTCGACTCTCGTGTTCCAGAAGGGGGTCAGTCAACAAGCGTGAAACGGATGCAACGCTACGCGATTTTATGGCCGACTCGTCGTCCATGTACCCCAGGTTTCTGATTTGCGTCAGATGAATGTTGGAATGGTAAGGCAGATTGTCAGATTGAGATTGAGATTGGATCGAGAGGTGCTTTGCGTTTTTGTTGTTTTTTGCTTGGCATCACGTGTGGGCTGGGTTACACTCAACTCTTGAAGACCGTACGAGTCAGGACGTAGGCGAGGAAGGGGCGAGATACGATCGGATGCAAAAGAGGGAGTCGAGGCAAGGCAGTTCGGAAAGTGACAGCGCAAAGGGGAAGTGTGTATGTGTGCGTGTGCCCTCTTTTTCCTTCGTCTTCGTCTGGCCTCGTGTTTGAGGCACGAGCATAGCGTCTTGTGCCTTTAGGGGGAACAGCGGACGGACGAGCAGACAGATGGATGAATGGATGGATCACAACGCAGTAGCCGCATGCGCCTCAGGTTCGTCTCGCCTCTTCTGTGTGTGCGCGTGTGTTCAGGTGAGGTCTGTATGTCACTTTGGCCGCTCTTCGTATATGCGAGGAAGGGGCACTGAGGGTTGTCGTTTTGGAGAGGTGATGTTCATGTGAGGGCGTGTAAGGTCATGAGAGCGTGGTCAAGTATGAGTGTTTGACTGATGCGCAACTCAGCGTTGCGACAAGGAGAAGTGGAGGTGTAAGGCCATGGTATGGGCTTGGACGATTTAAGCTTCTTCGGTACAGCGTTCTAGTTCTTGGGATCTCGATATCTTCAGTGTAGTGTGTGGCCTTGGAGATTTGTACCTGGAGGTGGCTGAGTTGAGGGTCCATGGCGTCGTGTCCATTCATGAGATTGAGGTCCTAGGACTGCTTCCTCTCGTGTATGAGGACAACCCCTTGGGGTCAGAGACGGGATATTTCGGGGGAGCGCGGAAGAGCTTTGATACCGGGCTGGCTCTCTCAACGAGCTCGGAGACGTGAAAGGGCGGATGAACGGTGGGCTTGTGTTGCTGCTCCATGGTCATCGTGTGTGTCTTGCGAGTTCTCACGGGAGAGAGAGAGAGCGCTATGATCCAGTTCATCTCGATATTTGTCTTTCCGAGACGGGTTTACGCAACTGTTCTAACTTGAGCCATTTGCTATGACCAGAGCCCAAGAGACCGTTTTTGGGGGGTTCAAAACGGTACGGTATACATATGGCAACGGGCATGGTCCAAAATAAAGATGGTACTAAAGCTCCCTGAGAAAAAAACCGAACTTCCTTCCCCTGTCTGGGTAGGTAGTGTGTCCGTCACTTGGGATGATATTAGGCAGGCTCAAATGCCTCGACCAATCAACGTTAGTCTAAAAGAATTCTCTCTCGAAGTCTGTGAATAATCTCGTGGATCGTGAGATAATGACTTGCATTTTTAGATTAAGGAAATGTTGCGACGGGCCGGGATGCCGAGGGTTGAAGTTGGATGTAAAGTCGGCGCGAATCTTTGTTATCCACATTTGCTAGGGCGGGTCGATATCCGCACATGCAGGTCTAGACTCTATTCAAGACCTGGTAGTAGTGGAGAAGGAGCTGTGGGCTTTTTTGCTATTCCACTTTACCTTGAACCTTTAATCCTGCTTACGGGTGTGGATAATGTGAGTAAGTGTGTTTCTGTGGTGGAGAAGGTGATGATGTATTCAGAGGAGACAACGGAAGCAAGTCCGATTTTGAGGTGTTTGTGAGATTTCAAGATGGAAGCATCAAGATCATGGTCGATAATCAGTGTGAGCAAAATGACAGCAAGTATCCGTAACGTTAGGGAACGAATAGCAATATTCTGCTCTCGCCATGGGAGCTCGGAAGCGCGCACTCGCCTTAGGCCATGCTGTGAGGCCGATACTTAGGTGTAAAAGGGGAAGCAAATTTGCAGAAATTGCAGCAAATGGCAACAAGGCAGAGGCAGGCTGGATCCTTCAATGCTTCAGCGAAGCTAGGCATGGTCAGGAACGAGGGCTGTCGACCACTCTGGCTCACCACTTTCCCCTCAGCCAACGACAGGGGCGAACAGTTTTAGGATTGCATCCAAACACCTAAGCTCTTCGCAAGGGATGTTGAGATCTCCTCTAGAACCACTGGTATATTTTCTGCATGTTTTCGGTGAGGAAGGCGCTTATTGCTTCACTCTAGTTTCAACTTCCTTTGGACGTACCTATCCATCTGTAAGTGAAATCTTGGTCCTCTCCTGGACTGGTGGAGAGCACCTCAAGTTGATACTCTGAATGTTGGCATCAGCGCGGAAAACGTGTCACGTGTCTGCTGATGCTCATAGCCTGCCCATAGGTCTGATTCTCCCGCAGCTAAGGCAGTTCGTTAGTGTTGCATGAGACGGTGCTGATGTAATCCTGGTCAAGGGCAGCCGGAATTCTCGATCTTGAAGATATAAGACAATGCCAGGTAATGGCGGGTGATTAAAGACTTTCCCCTCGTTCAGCACTGGTCGTAACCTGTCACTAAGCTTGTATGAGTACGCTGAAGGTGACGAAGAGGCTGGCCGTAGGCCAACCTTCACTTGGGCACATGTATACAAAGAAACAAGAAATAAGCACCGCAGGAGGACTAATGCACAATGTTGGATAGACTAATCTAGTGCATACTGCAGAAGAAACGACGCCGCGAAGAAAATTACTGCTATAGGGACATTTGTAACCGGATGAGACAACTTAAGTAATAAATTCTTTGTATTAATCTGGAAAAAATGACGTTTTAGATGAGACCAAATTTCTATACGTTACGGTTCAACGTTAGCCCATGGAGAAAAGCTTGACCAGATACAATAGGAACATTCACTCATATGAGAAGAACATTGTGAATTCAGATGCTATGAGGCAGTTATTAAGAACTCTTGGCTCAAAAAGATACGTAAGGCAATCTTAGACTTGTAGCTCTGGGGAATAAAGCTAATAGAGGTAATGAAAGGACTTTGACGGTACTTGTGTTCTGGGGCTTTCGAGCGATCAAAAATCAAGTACGTACGTGCGAAGTTACAGGAAAAGCGGGAAGTCAGATGGTCTATCATACCAAACGCCGCCTTATGTCACAATCCTTAGTTTTCGCCTGATTTGAAGTTAGATGAATCCTCGGAGGACGGCACACATGTTCCTGAAGCACTCGACGCAGTATAAATGGTTGGAAGAGAATAAATTGAAATCAGCGCTCTCGTCAAATGGCGGTTGAAACCTTTGGCTTTGAGGGAGACCCTTGGACTAACGAGAGCGCTCGTAGTCGTCTTCAAATGAGTTCACTGGCCAAGGCAGCCAAGATTCTCCAAACAGGCATTTACTTGGTCAAGGAGCTCAACTCGTCAAAGAACCTCAAAACTCGAGTGTCTATGAATTTCAATGAAGAGCTGGTGGCTCATAAAAGTGCTTGTTGATACTCAATTTATCCTCTTATTCCCCTGAACTTGGCTTTACTGCTCGAACCAGAGGCTGACTGGGATCGCATCTCTGTGGCTTTCGTAAGAAATAAAATCCAGCGACACTCTCTTCTACTTGTGAGCCTTGAAGCCGCGATGGAACTTGAATGGTGATATCTTCCGATCGATCCATGTTCCAGCGAAATAGCAGCAAAGCTAGAGTAGCCTTCATGGTCTTATGTCAAGCTACATGATCTAGAGCCTTCTGAATACTACTATAAAGACATGAGTAATCAAGGCACACAGAAGAGACTGTCAGAGTCAAAAATATAGTGGTTCACTGAATCTCATGTGTCGTTTGACATTGCATCTAAGGGTCTCGGCTTGATCACATGGTGACAAATACCAAATGAAGGTTAACTCACTTCATCATGTCGAGATATCCCAAAGAGGTTAGAAAAGGTCGAGGAAAGCAACAAGAGAGACCAAGACATCTTAAAACAATAACAAGCAGCACCATGTGGAATCCCTGCTAAAGTGATTCCAATGTACCCCTTCACGAACGCTGAACATAGTCGCTGTTGAAGTAGGCGTCCATGAGGTGAGGTTGACCAACCCGAAAGTCGATGCTTCCGCACAGCACAGACACTGTGCGGGAACGGTCCGCGTCCCCACTTTAAAATTTCCATGCCAGGCGCAACTGCAGGAAAGCCAGCGAACAAGTTTAGGACCTCTTCCATTTGGAAACTGCAAAATCAACCATGGATATCCTCAAAGTGTTGTCGCGCGGCATAAAACAGCCTGCTAAAGGCGCCAAGAACGCGAATAAAGGAGCGGCCAATCTGCCATCCGCCGGCAACCGAACGAACCCCCAACTTTTCCACGACGAGGTGTCTTCAGCGCGGGGCAACAAGAGGAAGAGAGGCAAAGAAGAGGTCGAAGAGAAGAAAGAGGAACAACTGCCCGAGGTCGACTTCTTCGCGCCACCCAAGTCCGAAACCCCCAAAGAATCCGAAAATGCCAAACAACCCGCTGCGAAAGCCAAAAAGGCCGACAAAGCGTCTGCTGCAAAGGCGACACTGCTCCCCGAGGACGAGTGCCGACAGATCCTTCGCTCCCACCGACTGAAGCTCACGCTACTCTCCGAGCGCCACAAGAAGGCCTCCAAGGTCACCAAGAGCAAGAAGAAGAAGGTCGCTGTCGAGGTTGAGAAGGAGACGAACCAGCTTCACCCGCAGCCCTTGACTTCTTTCCGCGAGCTTCGGACGAACTACAATATTGCGCCGCTGCTGGCGGACAACCTCACGCATCAGGGATTCAAGGTGCCGACCGAGGTGCAGCTGGGCGCCTTGCCTCTGCTGCTGAAGCCAGAACTGGCATTGAAGGAAGTGCCGAATAATGAGGAGCTTGGAGATGTCTCAAAGGGTGTGGATTTCCTCGCCGTTGCGCCGACAGGCAGCGGAAAGACGATCAGCTTCCTGATCCCCGCAATCAACTCCATCATGCACAAGAGAGAGTCCAGCGAGGACAAGGATAAGCATGATCTGTCTGCGATCATCATTGCGCCGACAAGAGAGCTAGTTTTCCAGATTGTGAACGAGGGACGCAAGCTGGCCTTGAACTCTGGTATCAAGATCGCCGGCATGAAGAAGGGCATGCGCTTCGCAGTCGCGGAAGAAGATAAGGCCGAGAGCGAGGATGAGGACGAGGACAAGGACGAGGAAGAGGAAGAGAGCGAGAAGTCAGAAGATGATGAGGATGAGGACGAGGACAGCGAGACCGAGCAAGTCAAGTCAAAGTCTGTCGTAAAGGCTGACATCCTCGTCACAACACCCGCACTATTCTACAACTTCCTTACGGCGTCGTCAAAGAAGGATCGCAAAGTTCCGACTGTCACATCATTGATTCTTGACGAGGCGGATGTGTTGTTGGACCCCCTATTCCGCGAACAGACCATGGCGATCTGGTCTGCCTGTCCTAACCCGGAGCTGAGAACTACGTTCTGGTCTGCGACTTTCGGGTCAAACATTGAGACTTTGGTGACTGAGGCACAGTTGGCGAGACCGGCATCCAAACCGTTAATTCGTTTGGTAGTCGGCCTGAAGGACACGGCCGTCCCCAACGTCACACACAAGTTGATCTACACCGCAACTGAGAAGGGCAAGCTATTGGGTCTCCGCCAGCTCCTTCATCCCACAGCAGGAGACGACTCAGGGCCACCTCTCCGGCCTCCGTTTCTGGTCTTCACCCAGACCATTGAGCGCGCCACAGCCCTGGAAGAGGAGCTCAAATACGACATCCCCCTCGCCGCCGGCGGTCCCACCAGAATCGCCGCCCTGCACAGCGGCCTCGCCGACAAGGCCCGCGCGAACATCATGCGCCGCTTCCGCGCCGGCGAGATCTGGATTCTCATCACGACGGACGTGCTCGCGCGCGGCGTGGACTTTGCTGGCGTCAACGGCGTCGTGAACTACGACGTGCCCGGCTCGAGCGCCGCGTACGTCCACCGCGCAGGACGAACCGGCCGCGCGGGCCGCGAGGGCGGCGTCGCCGTGACGTTTTACACGACGGACGATATCCCCTTTGTCAAGACGGTCGCCAATGTCATCGCCGCGAGCGAGAGGCAAGCGGGCAAGAAGGGCGACGAGGCGAATGTGCAAAAGTGGCTGCTCGACGCGCTGCCGAACGTGAGCAAGGAGGACAAGAAGAAGATCCGGGAAAAGGGCGTCGAGGCGAGGCGGAGCCACGGGGCGGCCATGATTTCGTCAAAGAGTAAGTGGGAGAGACGCAAGGATGCGAATAGGGAGGGGGCTACGGCCGCGAATAAGATTCGGATTAAGAATGCAAGGAGGGTGGGTGATGACGAGGCTGGTGCTGAATGGGGCGGTATCGATGACTGAGGGAGGTTTCCGTCTTCAAGAAGGCGTTGAAAATAAAAGCTTTTTTTGATAATACCTGTTTGAAGAGCGGTTCCATCCATTTACTCACTCTAAGCCTTGCCTGTCATGCCACATGATACTAGCCACTCAAGGTGGATCAAGCTTGATTAGAGGCGTGAGGCCACGAAGGCGTCGTTCTCAGGTGAACGCGGGATGAATCAAGTCATTCTGTTACCATCCAGTGAGTGTCCTGTCGAGAAAAGGCGGGATGTGCCCGCTTCCGAAAGGGATGGGTTTGCCTAGGAGAGTGTGTTGCGGGAGCAGAGAACATACAATCCTCTTATCGATTCAACAGAATTCGTAAGGAAGCGTCAGACTCTTTACTTTTGATGAAATTGACTTCATTAGCCCATAGCCTTGTGATCTCAAAGTCAAGAGTTGGGGTTTTCTTGTTACGCGAATGTGTATAACTTCATCCGATAGGTGGTATATCAACATTAAAATAAAATAGACAATGAAATAATAGAGTTAAAACCACGCCGGCGCCTCCTGGAGACTGTAGAGAATGTGGAAGAAGTGATATTCTTCTCAGCCACCTTCATCCCTCCTTTGAAATCTTTCCGTGCTTCCACGTAACCTTCTCATTTCCCCTTCCACCAATGCATCATCCCCCTTTAGCCATACTGCTGCCTCAACGGCAACTTCCTATCAAGTGTATGGAAAGCCTGCGTCCTGGGCGTATACGGCACGACCCCGACCCGCGGACTCGCCGGCCCGCCCTTGGCATGCCAATCCCTCATCTCCCACTCCCTCCCCTCCTTGGCATAATCCACCGGTGAGCTGCCGTCGCTGCTGCCCTTGCCGTCATCGTCCTCGTCGCCGTCGACTTTATCGCCCGCGTTCGGCCACAGCACGTACAGCGCGATGCCCAAGTTGGCGAGGTAGAGCGCAAGCATGTAGACCGTCACGGCGAAGGTGCCCTTTGCGAGCTGGCAACTCTTGTAGGCGCTAAAGGGGCGGGCGTAGTCGCACGACTTTGCGACGTACCAGGCGATCGAGGACGGGTAGCGCGGGTCGGCGTGGTCGGGTCCCATTTGGCCGTAGACGGAGACGGTGTAGAGGGCGACCATGGCGACGTTGATGCCGGCGGCGAGGAGGGGGAACCAGAACTTCATGATGAAGGCGACGAGTTTGGTGAGGAGGAGGAAGAGGGTGATTACCGAGATGGCGACGTTGAAGTCTGTGAGTCTGTGATTTCAAAAAGTTTTAGTTGTGAAGGTCTTTTGGTAAAGGGGAACAAGGTATGGCGAGGACTCACGTTCGTGTCCATACAAAGGGGACCTTGGGGTACGGCTCATAATTTGCGTAGGCGTAGAGAATCATCTTTGGGTTCGAGTTGAAGCCGTAGGCGTGCCCGACCTCCCAGAGCTTGGTCCGGTAGAGGTCCGGCTGCGCGATGCCGAAGAGGACGAGGAGCGGGACGAGGCCGGCCAGCTCCAGCGGCATGAGCGTCCACATCCATTTCCGCAGCAGCCATTTCCTGTGCAAGATCTTGTACGTCATCTTTCCTTCTTCTCCTTCTGCTCTCCAACGTTTCTTGTCGTGTATGCGTGTTTGACGAGAGGCGTGTCAATGCCCGTGTCGCTTTGGGGGGTTGTCCTCTTAATGAAGTCGTAGGGTTGTAACTCTCTCCGCTCTCTGTGTCTCTCTTTGCCAAGACTTTTGGGGGTTCAAAGTGTGTTCGTTGTATTCCTAGGCGCGATTGTTCGCCAAAGCAAACAATGGGATTTCACATTGGCCAAGTACCCAGCACTTGAACGCAATGAGAAGAACCTCGCGATCTGACTTGCGGGATTCGAGCTTTACTGTCGTCTTCGACGTTTCGACAGGAGGTCGAATCTTCAATGAGAGTGAAGAGTGAGAAAAGGGACCAAGAGTAAAGAATGAGCCTCTCAATGGGTCGGATGGGGGCAGGGTGGCAGTTTAAGGGCCATATCTCCCTCCCTCCTGCAGGTCAACCCATTCGCCGCCGCCCATTTGCTCCATTCATTCATCGCCATTCACCTGTCCAAAGAGGGGGGCCAGGCGGGCGGGTGGCCGGGTAAGCTCAGGGCAATGGGGGTTGAAAGGGCCGCTGAGCTGCATGTGCCGTGGTTGACCGACGGTGCGCCGTCACAACGGGGAGGTCCAATGAGGAGCGGAGGTGATGAGGGATGCTAAGCGCCGAGTTCGAGAGGGGCCGTTCAATTGGTCGGCCCCCGGGCGGATGAGCCAATGGGGGCGGCAAGATGCGACGTTGCGCACAATACCCGCCTCGAGGAGAGCAGGGGGGCTTCGGGGGCCACTGCTGGTGCAGTATTGATTGCCAATAGAATTGGTCGGTGAATGGGAAGTTGGTTGGCCATGTTGGATTGCACATACTGCAGTACGGACTACGGAGTAGGTGGGTGAGCAAGGTGAGATCAGCTTGTTCGTGCCATGCTGGTGCGATGCAACAGCAGATGCGGCAGGATACCAGCAAGAAAAGTCAGCAAACTTGTCCTTTATTCTGCAGTAGACACACGACGATGGATGCTTCATATCCCGGAGGTTGAAACCAACAACGTGATTGTGATGATGCTGGAACCGCGTATGGGGTCCGTAACGATAAGCGCCCGTTGGGCACATCCTCCCACGATGCCCGGATCCGAGAAGCCGGCACCGTGATGGCACGTCGAGGAGTGCCTTGATACCCCAGCTCCGGTAAGGATCGACCGAGGACCAAATAGGAGGCAATCGGCTGGATTAACCATCAACCCGAGCAGGTCCCATTCTGTGACCATCCACAATGTATGCCAGCCAGCAAGTGTGGCGAAACATCAAGCAGGCAGTATGCACTACATACTACGTGCATTCGCTTGTTCAGCCGGTGTGCTGGTCGACCGAAAATAAGCCTCTATTCTGGCTCTGGTGGTGATCAGAAGAGTGTAAGACAAGGCTGGGGTGCAGTCGCACAAGTGGGTGCATCCCACGCTTGCGGGCTTTTTTGAGCTTATGTGAGCGACCATCTGATCTGCCGGCAGTGAAGAAGGATGCCGTTTCCAAAGAGATATTAATAGAGGGGTAGAGAGGGATGGGAAAGTCCCACGAGAACAAAAATGTGATTTTGGGGCCGCCATGTTCTTCAATCCTTAGTCTTGGCTGCGAACGTGTATTGCCACTGTCTATCAACGCCGATCGTGTCGTTTGACTTGGACCCGAGTCTTGAGTAGAGTTTGAGCTGTCAAACTAGACTTGACAAGCGTGCACGCAGATCAGTCGGACGAACCATGCGGGCCGCTCAACTTTGCTCGCCAACAGCCACAAATTCCAAGTCTTTGCATCGTGGACTGCGGCGATCCGTATATCTGGCTGCCTGGCAACAAAGTCGGACCGCTGAAAGACAGGTATTGTGCCCATCAACGAATAGCTGCGTCACCGACAGGTAGATGGTCGGATTATCCGTGAAACTGAATTCGGCCGGAGCCGATGGCGCCTCGTCGCTGGATCGGAAATGAGAATCCCATGCGTACAGAGGGAGGTTTGAAACGAGACAATGTTCCTCGCGATGGACCGGAGTGTACCTCCTTCACTTAATGCGAGGAATGCTGCGTATCTCACATCGGGATTGTGATCCCCGCAACTCCGACTGGCATTAAGAGGCAATTGAGAACGTGAGACCATTTCTCCTTGCGTCATGACCAACGAAACGAAGCCGTTTGATAATATGAATAATTAGGCATTTGCTGCCCGCGACTATCAAATACGGTGCCGAAAGTGACTAGCCTGCTGAGGTTGCAAAGTTCCGCTGGATTTGTGGCACGCGTTGTTGAGGATCAGGAGACAGCGATAAGTCCGATGTTCGACTATTTTTGAACAACGCAAATCCCAAATACTAGACATGAACCTCGCTGTCTCGTAGTTTTGCGAGTGACTTAGGGATGTGAGCGATTGGTTGGTCATTGAGCGAGTATCGCGGACCGTATAACGGGATAAATCGTCCGGAGGGTTTATAAGCATTCCTTCCAAGCGGAACATCCAATGGGAGCGCCGACCGAGAGCAGTCACATTTGACGTGGCAGGGATATAGGTCGGGAATAAGGCGTATGAGATGGATGGAGGAAAGACACCCTCTGTCACCATATATCTTGACCGAGACAAGGTCGCGAGAAATGTTGAACGGGAAGAGATCCCGCGCAGGTTCGAATCCATAGTGCATTCTCCCTGGCTGAGAATGCAGTTTTGTATCCCTTCACCGACAGGCGCGACTCGGGGCGGTGCCCGGATCCGAGGTGAGACTTGGAGAGTCTGAAATCCAACGTTGCCTCGTACGGGGAACAATGTGCGACAGTATCACGGTCCACGGCTTCACGGTTTTTGATATTCTTGGCGCCAAGGAGATAGCAAAGCCCTTGAACCACCCTGCATGGCGATCAACACTATGGGTTCAGTCGCGAAGTCGCGAGTATGTAAGCCACATCTCTGCTTGTCTGGTTCGAGAAAGTATTTCGCGATGACGGAATGCGAGGCCAAGTGCCGGGACACTTGCTAAATGTAGAGCCCGCCCAGCCTAGTCTTCCGCACGGAGCCCGGCACAGACAGCAGTAGGCCGGCGTCATCGTATGATGACTGCTTTGGGGTGACGGCGGCGTCACTGCTATGGACGCAGGAGAGGCACTAGGCGCGAGGTACGTCCTTTTTCTCCCGAATCGCTTGAGGGCGAGGGAGGTGTCTTGGTCGAAGGCAGTTGGCGCATAGACTGATAGAGTATTCCAGGCTGTGTTCTTTTGCTTGTTCTTTTGCCAGGTGGTGCCTCGTCTCTGGGGTAGGGAAATCAAAATTCGAAAGTAACGCCCGGATGCGAACAGCAACTGAGACAAATTGAAAGACCCATGTCGCAAAGCTGCTAAACGTTGATCTGCGGGCTGGCATTGGAGAGGGCGATAGGTCGCTACCTATTCGTAGGGAGGCATCCGTAGTTGGATGTTGACATGTCAAAATGTGAGATTCACACTTTTGGGATGTTGCGGCGGTCAGGCTGGGGTTCACGGAGCCGCAGCATTCAGAAAAGAAATGAAGAGTTAACAACGACTGGAGGAGTCTGCATCTGCGTCTACGTCTGCAATCCAACGACGTGGAAGTTGACGCTGGTGAGTGAGTTGTGACTGCTTCCTGACAAGAGACTGACAGAACTGACAGGAGCTTCCTTCCGGATTGGGGCCAATGAGAATGGCAGGTGACGATCATCGATCGGCGAGCTCGGGGTGGGGGCGACCACGGTCTGGACCGCGCCAGTTCGAGACCGACAGGGGAGAGCGGATGACCAGGGCTCTTTCCCTTCTGGTAGGATCCACTACATGGTCAGGTACCCAAGTACTATGCGGAACCCTGCCCTGCCCTGGGACGTGTGGAGTGGAGCTCCCTTTCGGATCCATTGATCCATTGATCCAATCCTAATGCTTGGCTCGTTGTTGGCTCTTTCCCATCCGGACATTTCGAAGCCATCCGTCGGGTTCGCTTTGCTGCATCTACGCCGTTGCTGACGACGGCGCAACTTTTCGGCTACGCTTGTGGAATGTTCAAACCCTCTTCTTTGATTGAATGCGAGAGACATCTTACCTTGAGCACACCCACGGTTTATCGTGGGTATGTACCAGATTGACTCGGACTGACGTATACCCTCTGCCAAGTGCCGGGCGTCACGGAAAGTTCGGCGGGTACCTGGCTTGCCGCTTGAGAAGCTATCTTGATACAAGCGTTGGTCGCCGTCTTCAGCTTTCATTCTTTCTCGTCATCCAGTAATGAACGGGTAATGACAGGGAATAACGGCATAGCATGGCAGTTGCGCGGGATATGCAGGCAGCCCGCAGAACCACGGGGCGAAGCGAGAAGCCGCGAGGATAGAAGCGGACGGATCTTTGGGTCTGCTTGTTTTTGAAATGTGCGCCGTGTTGGTTTCTTTCTTGTCATCGCTTCCTGTTTCGTTTCCAGATGACTCAAAAGAAGCTGCGCCTACCTACTAGGATGCATTCCTATGAGGTGGAGTGAGTGAAAAGAGCGAGATACGCGAGCCGTTGCCCGGCCTTGTGGAGAGATGAAGAAAATCATTTGGTCGGCGCAATTTGTCTCCAAGTTGCATTGGCAACATGTTTACTGTGTATGCCGAGCGATTAGAGATCCACGCAAGATATGAACATCTTGCGTATCTGTGAAGGTGTTGTAAATCTCCAATTCTCCATACGCGGAATGACCAACTGAGGTGGGCCAAGCTTGGGCCTTTTGGTGGACAACGAAACCCTACCTCACTGCGTAGGTCTTTATTAGGGTCGTGGAGATACGAAGGCTGCAGACTAGGTACTCACGATTTGACTTGGACCTGTCTTGGAAGATAATCGGACACTGCCGGTGATACGGATAGCTAGTTGTGAAGTTCCCATGGTAAAAAAGGTCACTGAGTTACGGCTGGGTTGGCGATTGGCATGAGGTAAAGCAGATGAAGTTGGCTAGGTCGTCTGATGCCTGGTGTGGAACTGGGAGTGTCCATGTCTGGAAGCAGCAAGGCCAAGGTTGGAGTGGGAGCAATGTCTTGGCCAAGGCGCAGAACCCAAGGAATCCAGAGAATCCAGACCCGGGTCCAAAATACCACGCTGCCGTCCATCCACAATGCCACCACCACCCCCAGGCCCCAGCTGTGCGGCGTGCCTGCAGTGCGGTCCACAGGCTACCTACCTATGGAGTGCGGATACCAGCCGACAGCTCCGCCCCCAGTCCCAGTCTCCGCCTGAGCCTTCGTCCCATCCGCCCTTTCTTTTTGATTCCTCACACCCATTTTAGGTTGTTCCTCACATGTGCAGAGAGAGGGCTGCCTGTGTGAGCGCAACGGGCGAGCTTGCATACACACCGGCACACAACTCATATCTTGTCATCGCTGGGTGGTCCGCTAGTCAACTGGGATCGAGGCGCCTTCATTCTTCAAGTCTACTGATGCTTCCGTCAGTGCGTTTGACGACTGGGCTACCTTACTCAGGAAAGAAGACAAGATGAGATGCATAGATGGATATGGAGTATGCGCGTGTGTGAGTATATGTATTTGCCAGTGTCAAGTGCGATGAAAGAAAGTGAGTGTAAGGTGAGGTAGTGAGACCAAGCAAATAGCATTATCGGATACATCAAGTCTGGTGGCTTTTGGTAGTAATGTAGCTAAGGTACGGAAGTACGCGATGCCGATCGTACCTACCTATCAAGAGAGAAAGTAAAGGGAAGGAAGGACGGGAGAGGACGACCTCGAGTTGGCAAGAATGAACGGGAAGGAAGGAGTTCCGCAGCGGGATAGCCCCGTTGGAAGGAAGGCATGAAGTACGCAGCAGGTATCAAGGGTACAGTTCCCATTTGTTTGATAATTCCACCTCATGGCTCACACCAGACCTCACCTCTCGTCATGTATTTCCAATTCTTGTCCAATTCACTTCCGAATCCCCAGTCCCAGACTCTCACGTCTTTTTCTCTTTTCTTTTTCTGGTTCCTTCCGCAGACCCCGAGCCCCCAATCTGCCATACCGCCTCGGCCCTCGAATTACCTTAGTTTGTTCCCTGACGGATACTCACAGCCTGACCAGACCAGACCCCCAGTTGCACATCATCCCCGTTTCTGTCACTGCCAGCTGCCAAGAAAGGAGTCGACGTACATACATTCGTCCCTCTGCAAGGTCCTCTGCAGTTTGTTGGACTTTTAGACTCTCCCACCTCACACGTTAGATCCATTCGCATAATCATGCCCGCCCACCTACAGTAATAGTTACTAGTAGTCCACCCCCCCGGCGCCATATCTCAGCTTTTTTTTCGCGAGACCATTCCAATCCGGTCCAAGTCCCAGAGGTCCTAAACCGGACCAAACCACGAGAGAAGAAGGACAGACGGTTCCCCAAACATTAACCAATACACGGCGTGTCCTCGCACTGACTCCTCTTTCGACATCGAGATTCCCATTCCGCCTTTCTGTGCCATCTCTCGATTCCATCCTGCGCCCTCGATCTCCACGTACATCTTCTTACCTACCCACCGCTCCAACCATCGGAAACACAATCAATCACCTTAAACGCAGCATCGCAGAGCAGTCCAGTTAGCACCTAGCAGCAGGCCACCAGACCAGACCAGCAGAGCACACCTCGGAGCCATCGCATCGTCAGCCGCTCGCTCGCTCGCCTTACGCCTCACTCACACCTCAAGTCGTCCTCAACGGGCCGCCTGCCTACCTTTCTTTACCGCTCCGACCTCTACGGGCCTGACCTTGCTTTCTCGTCTTGCGGCTTGCCGCAATCTGACCAGAACTGCACGAAGCACGTTTGAAGGCACCTTCGCAGCCACATATCGCAGTAGCAGCAGCAGCAGCACCAGTTCCCCTTCGCTGTGCTTAAGTTCCAGTAGCTTCAGAACCATCACATTCGCCCGTGCCATCATCTCATACACCGCACCTCGTGTGTGGTGTAGATTGCAGGTACATCCTGGATCGCATTCAATCTCATCCTGGTAATTCATCTATTTCCTTCTACTCCCTTCTAGTCACGGCACTTGATCGTTTGCTTCTGCCGTCCCTTATGCCTTATGACACTCAACGGCGGCTGCCGTAGTGGCGGCACCCTCCCAAAGTTTGGACTGCCAGGCCTAGATTGACGATGACACGCTTTCGGAGTATTTTCCGGTTGACCATCCCGCAACTTGAGGCTACTACTCCGGCCGTCTCGTCTCTGTGGCTGCGATAGTGGCAGTCCCATTGTCGCCGTCCAACTCCGACAAGTCATTATTGTCTCCTTTATTCGTATAGCCCTGCTGCTATCTGCCTACTTTGCTCTTATCTGTATCGACCGCGTCGGGCCAAACCTTGCCTACCTACCTTACCTATCCAGTTGACAGGACTCCGTACAGTCAGTCCCTACCTATGGAACCTTCGTCTCCAACCCCCAAAATCCCCATCACCCATCACCCCAGTCGCTGGCTGTATCCGTCGTGCTTGCACCTCAAGGCTCAAGGCTCAATCCCACCTTACCCTAACTCACCTTGCCTACCCTGTTCAGGCGTGCCCCGATCAAGCCCGCATGTTCCCAGTCACTCCCCTTCCCCGAATCCCAACCCAGGCGTCCGTCCCTTCCAGACTCTTTTCGCTGCAGGCCTTTCCCCTTCCTGTTCATGGCCCGGGCCCGTCAAACCCTCGCTCTATCTCGATCCCCCAATACCCGACTCGCTCGCCAACCACCTGTACCCCGGTTGCAAGGTTGGCTAGGGTAGCAAAGCACACAGCGCCCGTCTGGCCTGGCATCTCCCTGTCGGTGTTTTCTTTTCTTCTATTTTTCTTACCGCTAGCTCACTGCCCCCCTCTCTCACCTCTGGGAATACCCGAATTTCACCTGCGGATACCTACCTACCTACCTTACCTGACTAAGGTAGCGTTGCCCGCCTAAGCCTTTCCCTTCCCGCGGCACCTGGGCTTAGGTTGCGCTCACTCGCTCGCTCACCCGTGGCCTGCAAACTGCTGCTCCCGCTTCCCCCCGTGTCATCGTCCGTTGTGTCTGTGCTTGCCGTGCGCCTTTACTTCTGCACTTGCTTCACTCCCGTCTCCGCCGTCACTAAACAGGAATCATTTTAGTTTCGGCAGGGGAAGACAACCATAGAGAAGGAGGCCCGAGACGAAAATTTCTAGAACGGACCGACTCTCTCGGCCGCACCTCATCTTCACTCCCTCCCCCCGCGCATTCATGCCGCAGGGTGACGATCGCTTCCCCCAATCCGCCATACGACTCCTCGCTCCCCCGTTGCCCTCGACACACCGACCCTACCACGCCCCCGGAAACATCACCACAACCCCGACCACGGCAACGAACCCGACCACGAGGACGACGACGACCAGACCGACGACGGCGGACCCGTTCGCTACCGTTTCCACCACCGCCGCCGCGAAATCCGAGGCTTCTACAGCCGCCGTATCTTCTTCTTCTTCCAACACGAGCGTCAGCCACAAGCGATCGGGTTCACAGCCGCAGTCAAGTAACCCACGTTACCATCCCGCCTCGCCCACCTCGACGACATTGAGCCCCGGAGGGTCATGGACAACTCCCGACATTAGTCGGTATGGTTTGACGTATAGCGACACTACTTGCGATCCCTCATTCGACGCCGCGTCTAAGACGCTCCTGACCCCCAGGTCGGACCCGACCTCTCCGACTATCAGGTCGTTTACAGAATCTACCCGTCTGTCGAGACCTTCAACGTCCAACGGGAAGCGCCTATCCGACGACGAAAACGCACACGAACGACCAAACCCGTCACCTCTGAAGAAGGCGCGAACTCGACTGGGGCCACCGGGGCACATCAAGCTGCCAAAACAACCAACTGCGTCAGTCATTCTGGCTAGGCACAACCAAGGGGTCGTCTCCCCTCTGTTCTTCTCCTCAAACAACAAACGACAGATGCCGCCTCGACCAGCTGCTCTCCCTCCCTCCGACGCTGCAGCCGTCCTGCTAGCTCGTCTGAGGGAGGACCAAGACCGCGTTCACACTGTTCGCCTACCCCGCGGAACCGTTCATGCACAAACATCAGCTAGATCTGGGAGTACGCCGGGGAGCAGTAGTCTATCTTCTGCAGACGCCACCCTAACCTCTTCAAAGAGCCCAAATAGCCAGCATCTTCCTCAAGGACTGCAAATCTTGAGAGGAGTTGGCGTAATCGAACTTTTGGAACAAGATGAGCGTCCGACTTTCATCATCGATCTCGCAAATCCCGTCAACGCGCAAAAATCGGGACTGCATTTGCTATACGCCAATGCGGCGCTCAGGGCTTCCGTGGGTGTCTTGGAATTGCTTTCTGTGGAGGGTGACGATGTCATGAAGAACCCCGACTATATCCACTTCAAAACGTGGGCCACGAGCTTCGTCTTAAACCATGAATCCCTTGACGTCTGCCTTCCTTCTCATAGCTATGGTGGCATCACATGGACATGCTCGACCTTGCGCAAACGATTTCGCTTCGTGAGCGGCAACGCTAGCGCCGTATCAGCACCAGCAGACTCGCCTCCGTTAGCCGATGAATCAGCGGTGCTGGAACAGCGGAGCAGAGGGCCGACACCAAACCAGCCATCAATTGTACCCATGGATGACGAACCCGATTACTTTGGTGATATGGAAGGGGAACCGCATGAGCTGGACGACACACCAATTGTCGTTGACGATTGTGTGATGATAGACAGTGGTGAGAAGTACCACACCGACGAGTTCACCCAACAGGTCTTCCAAGCAGCGATGATGAGGCCATCATTTGACTGGACCCGCATTCAAACAACCCCGGATTTGAGTGAACATATCCTATTCTGTCGCAACACCGATTGGGCCTCCACATCATTGGGTCCGTTGGAGCACTGGAGTTCAGAATTGAGGGCCATGGCCAACATGGTTATGGGTAGTCCCCACCCTGCGGCCATGTACTGGGGACGGGACAATGTCGCCATCTACAATGAGGCCTACATTGAGCTTGCCGGACAAAAGCACCCTCAACTCATGGGCATGCGGTATCAGGACGCATGGAAAGAGATCTGGTCGGATATCGAGCCTTTGTTCAATAATGCTTGGACAAATGGGCAGTCAATCATGAAGAACGACAACCAGCTATTCATCCTTCGACACGGATTCCTCGAGGAGACATTCTTTTCATGGTCAATCATCCCATTACTGGGTTCTGATGGCCAGGTGGTCGGACTCTACAATCCGGCTTTCGAAAATACCCGCCGCAAGGTCAACGAACGCCGGATGTTGACTTTGCGAGAGGTGGGCGAGAAGACAGCTGCAGCTAAGGACGTCAGAAGCTTCTGGCCGCGGGTCAAGGAAGGATTGGAGTTCAACGACTTGGACGTACCGTTTGCCCTCATTTACTCCGTGAAGGAAGACAATAGTGAGAGTGAAGTATCTTCTATGCACTCTGGAAGCATAGCACACCCACCATTATTACACCTCGAAGGCAGCTTGGGCGTTCCAGAGGGACACCCAGCTGGGCTACCCCAGCTCGACCTAAAGTCATCAGACGATGGCTTCGCTCCCTATATGCGCCAGTCTATGACGATGCAAGGTGCACCCATCATTCTCTCGTCGGAAGCTGGCAACCTGCCAGCAAAGTTGCTTGAAGGCTTGGAGTGGCGAGGCTTCGGTGACCCAAGTAAGACTATCGTTATCTTGCCTGTCCACCCTACCACAGCCGGTGAGTCTGTCGTTGGCTTCATCGTCTTGGGCACCAACCCCCGTCGACCCTATGACGAAGACTATCAGCTTTTTATCCATCTCTTGTCGAGACAACTTGCGACGTCCATGGCATCGGTCGTACTTTTCGAAGAGGAGATCAAACGAGGACAGAGGGCTGCTCGCTTGGCCGCGATGGATCGTCAAGAATTGCAAATGGAACTCTATTTGAGAACACAAGAGGCAGTCGAAAGCGAATACAAGTTCTCGCGAATGGCAGAATTCGCACCGGTCGGCATGTTCATTGCTAACGACAAGGGCCTCATCAACTTTGCCAACGATATGTGGTGGCAAATTTCGAGGCATCCCAGAACAGAAGACAGTGTCAACACATGGATGCAAAGTGTGAGGGACGAGGACCGATCGGGCGTCGAACTTGCTTGGAAGAAGCTCATTGAAAACAAGGAAGCGATCACCATTGAGTTCAGGTTCAAGTGCAGCCGCCAGAACGGAATGAACACTATCGATACTTGGGTCCTGATGAGTGCTTTCCCGGAACAGACTCAAGAGGGCGACCTGAAGAGTATCTTTGGCTGCATCACCGATATTTCGCCTCAAAAATGGGCCGAGGATTTCCAGAAGCAACGCAGAGAAGAGGCAGTCGAGCTCAAACGCCAACAAGAAAACTTCATCGACATCACGAGTCACGAAATGCGGAATCCATTGAGTGCGGTCCTCCAGTGTGCTGATGAAATCGTCAACAGTATAACGGAGTACCGCGCTCAACCGCAGGATCCGACACAACTCGACACCCTGTTGGAAAGCTGTACCGAAGCTGCCAGCACTATCAACCTATGCGCCAGCCATCAGAAACGCATTGTCGATGACGTGCTTACCCTTTCGAAGCTCGACTCGCAACTTCTGCTTGTGACACCCGTCGACTCGCATCCGGTCACGATTGTCAAACACGTCATCAAGATGTTCGAGTCAGAGTTAAACACACACGAGATCAAGCTAGACTTCTCGGTAGACAAAGCCTATAGCACTCACGCTGTCGATTGGGTCAAGTTGGATCCATCTAGGCTTAGGCAGGTTCTGATCAACCTCATGACCAACGCCATCAAATTCACCCAAGGCCGCGAGAAACGCGAAATTACCATGAAGATGAGCGCATCCAAGAATATCACCGAGGTTACCCAAAAAGGGGTGTCATTTTTCCCGACTCGCAAAGAGAAGGAGGACGTTCGGGCTTTGACCCAGGAGAAGGATTGGGGAACAGGAGAGGAAATTAACCTCCATTTCTCCGTCCAAGACACAGGCCCTGGTCTGCGCGAAGATGAGAAAAAGCTACTCTTCCAGCGGTTCTCTCAGGCGTCACCCCGCACCCACGTGCAGTATGGTGGCTCGGGACTCGGTCTCTTCATCTCTCGCATGCTTGCCGAACTACAGGGCGGCCAGATTGGTGTTGTCTCCGAGAAGGGAATAGGCAGCACTTTCGCATTCTACGTCAAGTGTCGCAAGACGGAATCACCTAGCCTGGAGTCGCCGTCTCTCTCGGCCCTCAACTTGGCGCAACCAGTCAAGAGCGAGCCAACTTCCGCACCATCGACGCCTCCGCTCACAGCCCTGCCTAGAAGGGCTTCCATCAAGAAGCCGGTGGCCCCCGCGACGCCGCTGTACGATGTTTTGATTGTGGAGGACAATATCGTTAATCAGAGGGTTCTGCGGAAGCAACTCACAAGCTGCGGCAACACTACATATGTCGCTAACCACGGAGGCGAGGCCCTTGAACAGCTCAAGAAGTCCCGTTTCTGGGCTGGCAACGAGGCTGAGGGCTTTGATCTCAGCGTTATTCTTATGGACCTGGAGATGCCGGTCATGGATGGAATCACGTGTACGAAACGTATCCGTGAATTGGAGAGGGAAGGCACTTTGACTAGGCACATACCCATCATTGCTGTCACGGCATACGCGCGGCCAGAGCAGATCGAGAGCGCGAAAGCCGCCGGTATCGTGAGTGAGCCCCCAAACTGCACATATCGAACTTCACTAACATGATGACACAGGACGACGTGATTTCGAAGCCTTTTAGAATACCGGACTTGCTGCCCAAGGTGAAGGAATTGGTTACGATGTACAACGCACCACCTACTACCGAGGCCACGCCCCTGGCTTGAGTAGGAAAACGCCCATAGAGGCTACGTTCGCATGAAGCCTGTGCACCGCATGCGGTCCTGTCCGAAGCGACGGCAAGAGGCCGCTGGAGTTGGATCAGTGTTTTATTCAGATTTCGAATTGGGTCCTTGCATTTTTCATTTTTCTCCTTTTTCCGCCAAGACTCGCTATCGCACCAGAGAGGTGCGGTAGTACTAGAGAACAGGCCGGGGGCGTTCAAGGAGGGGCAATTGACCAAAAAGACTTGGGAGAAGGTATTGGTTTGTTTCAGTGTGCATAAGACTTGCATTTGAGAGGAGCAAGGCATTTGGAAGCACGAGACTTGGAGTATTGAGGCGGGAACGCATATGATGCGAGGACGAGTCACGGGGCATATGGAATCTAAGTGGGCAACAGATCCTACTGACGAATATCTTCAGCGTATCTTTTTTAATATTCCTGACTCGGAGTATTGTAATGCAAAGATACCCATATTACCATGGTTAAAAAACATTCTCCACGCGTGTGCGAAGTTTTAGAATGCAATTCTCTCAAGGTTGTCGTGAGCTCACCTGAGGTACGGTCATCGACTTGCCCGTGATTGACCCTTGCTCTACCAATTTAAGCACGGACCATGCCAACGACGCTTACGTAACGAAGACTTTTCTGCGAGAGCGAGCTCCTAGCAAGATCAACCTCGAGGTCAGGGACGAAGCTCACCACTTTCGACAGACATTGATCGCGAAACCCGACACACTTCGCGCCTCCCCCGAAAATGCATCAATCGGCGCTACGATCGGCGAGCAGCCGCATAAGACCTGACGTGGTCGCAATCAAGACCTGCATCCGGACCTTTTCCACGACGCAATTGCGTCCCGCGGACGAATCTTCCTCATCGAACTCGAACAGAAACGACAATGGCGACAAATCTTCCTCTTCGCGAGCCTACAACAGGCCTCAACTTACCGGACGAGAGCGCTCCCGCGCCGCGGCTAGCGAGATTGGACAGCTTCTGCGTGGCGGACCGGTGAACAATGCTGCTGCTGCTTCTTCCGGCGGTGCTGCCCAGCCTCGGGGCCTCGATGAGAAGCCTAGGCTTGGTGGTCTCGATGGACCTTCCGGAGCTGGCGGTGCGGTCAAGTTCGTCAAGGCGCCTGTCGGCTTCGGACGTGGTCGTGGTGGTCCTGGCGCGGGCTTCGGCGCTCGTGGAGGACGTGGAGATTTCGCTGGCCGTGGAGGGTTCGCCGGCCGTGGAGGAGGCGAGGGAGGTGGTGGTTTCAGAGGACGCGGAGGCGGCGGCTTCAGGGGTCGTGGTGCCGGTCGCGGCGGTGCCGGCCGCGGTGGTCGCGGTGGTCGTGGAGGTCGCGGCGGAGGCCGGGGCGGACGCAAGGGCGAAGAAGACGGCGAGAACCGCCCGAAGCCTACTGGGCATGGCCCCGAGGCTTGGAAGTCCCAAATAGAGATGTTCTGGCGTCCCGAGACGGCCGAGGAGCGCGCGTACATTTCGAAGCGCAACGGCGCGCCCGAGCAGTTTACGCCTAGCCTCAGCGTCGGCGACCTGCTGGGCTTCAGGCCCGCCATGCCCCTCTCGTCGGCGGCGCAGCCCGTCGTGCAGGCGGCGACGGTGCTGAGCTCGCTGCGGGAGGTTGCCGGCGCGGCGGACTACACGCCCGAGCGTTGGGGCGACGTGCGGCACACGGCCGAGGCGCTGGCCAACACCCGGGACCGGGGCGTGTACTTCTTCGTCGACGGCGCGGAGAAGAAGGCGTTTGTCGAGGCGCGCGAGGAGAGGACGGGCGAGAAGGCGACGGCGGAGGAGAAGCCTGACGCTATTGCGGGTGTCGTCGACGACGACGTCCACGTCCACGCCGTGCGGGATGTGAAGCTCGAGGAGGGCGCGAGCAAGGCCGTGAGGGAGTATATCCTTCAGCGGGCCGTCAAGGGCCAGCACGTCGGTCCCAAGTTCGTGCCGGGCGGCAGCCGGGATCCGGTCAACATGGCTAAAGCGTCGCATCTGCACAACGAGACGTATGTGGCGGGGGATATGAAGAAGTTTGACGACAAGATTGCGGCTCTTGTTGCGAAGAAGGGTGCTGCTGGTGCCGCCAAGGGGGGCAAGGCTGCGAGGGCTTGAGTCGGAAGGCCTGGGTCTTTCAAGAGATTGTAATATCAACAAGGATGGTGACAAGTCCGGGAAGAAGAGTGAAGACGAAAATTCAGATGGGCGATTCGTTGTAGGATTATAGAGATGGAGAGGTTTGGTACAGCCAAAAAAAGAATACATATTGTACAACTAGATCCGAAAGTCTCTTCTACTGTACACTACGGATTGAATCTTTCCTCCCGAGCCTTTTTTTGGTTGCAACTACCTCGTTATACATGGAGAAAGCAATATCTCCTATTCGAATGTGACCCGTTGAAGACTTTTGAGCTCAATAACTTGGAAAAGTAAATCATCTGTTCCCAGAACTTAAGCTTGCAACTTCCTGACAGCCTGCTGCTCAGCAGCATCGACAACCTTCATCTCCTTATCCTGCACCTTTTGCAGCTCCTTGTCGGCCCTCCGCTTGAGATCCGGCACGATGCTCTTCTCCTTCTCCCACTTTGCGTGCAACTTCTTCCTCTTCTCCGTCGCGACGCGCATCTTGTCCCGCCACGCCTGCGCGGCGTCCTTTGCGCGGCGCACGACGACCTCCTTGTTTGTCGCCTCGACCTTGAGCACGAGCTCGAGCTCGTTGTCCGGGTCGCGCTGCGGCTGCTGGTTGAAGTCGGGCGAGGCCTGGACGGCGGCCATGACGGGCTTGACGTAGTCCTTGTCGTGCAGCAGGAGGCTGACGGTGCGCCCTCCGGGGCGGGGCACGATCTCGGCGAGCTCGCGGAGGGGGTAGGTCGTCGGGTCCTTGCGGTCGGGTTGGATGGCGAGGGCGCCGATGGCGTCGGGGGAGAAGCGGTCGCCGGATTGGAGTTTTTTGAGGATCTCGGTGTGGTGGGAGGAGAGGGAGGCGAAGCGGGAGGCGACGTCGGCGAAGTTGAGGGGGTCGGTCGGGTCTGGTTTCGGGTGCTTTGAGCCCGGGAGGTCGTCTGTGTCGGCTTCGTCTGCGGTGTGGGAGGTGCGGGAGACGACGGCGGGAGAGTCGGCTGTTGGGTATTTGGGCTCGTTCTTCTTCTTCTTTTGGAGGGTTGTTGAGTGGGAGAAGGGACGTATCGCCGCGGCGGTGGTATTGTTTTGCGGGCGGAGGGTTGAGGATATCATCAGGCGAGCTGCGAGCGGTGCCTGGATTGCGCTGCTGCTTCCGGTCAATTGAAGTCGCCTGGGTTGAGCTGGCGGGGGAGATCACCTTTGAGAAGCTGGTAGGATGCCATTGGCACCCCTGAGGAGCGCATTGGGGGCTCTGAGTCCTCGCATGGTGTCTTTGTGGGTTGATGTGTGTGTTGTGTTACTGACTGACAGTTGGAAGCTCTGGCAATTTTGAAGCGCTGGATGTGACGTACGGAGCTCGCAAGGCGGACTCGGCTCCACTCTCTGACGAACTTGAGCACACGCATGGCCCGAAACCTCAACAACAAGCATCCGGTCGATTGGCCCAGCGGTTTAAGGCATCTGCTTTACACGCAGAGGATCGCAGGTTCGATCCCTGCATCGATCATCAGCTTCAACTTTTGCATTTTTGAGATTCATTGGGAATGATTCTAAGGCGCAGAGACATGTTTCGTTGTCACATTTACTCTTGTAGACCAGAAACAAGACATGGGCGAGGATGCAGTGAGGTGCACTTGAAGCTCAACCTTTTTTTGCATTGACTTTGCATGTACTGCCGGTAACTTTGGAGCTTGGAGCGGGAAGCTGCCAACCCGTTTAGACGCATTGTACCTACGAATACACCTACCCCAAGACCCCCCAAAGTCCTCTGAGGTAGGTAGCTAGAGTCGCGCTTTTTCACAAGCACGCGACGTCAGTGGGAGGCTCAACCTTTCAACTATCACTTACTCCATCCAAACACCCTATACCCGCCAAAATGGAGATCGAGGTCGACGAAGATCTCTTGCGGACGGTCGCGACAGGCGGCGAAATGGACTAGTAAGTAAACTTGCTGTCAACTCTACCCATCTCCTGCTTAGCTGCTAATTGCATGGCGCATCAGCGGTCTATGGCCCGCCCTGTCGCAAGGAATCATCTCGAGGCTAGATAAGGTACGTCCGCCCCCAGGTCTGGCTTCGACCGCTCCCACCATCGTACATCTATGAAAGACGAAATCTTCTCGGTAGGGCGCGCTCACCAGTTCGCATCGCGAATGTCTAGATCGCCCACAATGCATTCCCTATTCCGAACCTACCCACCCCTCCTCAACCCATTAACGCGCCAGGCCAACAACCACGACTACTCTCGCCGCTCCCCTCGTCCTCCATCGATCCCGCCAGCAGCCAGCCGTCATCACAGGACGCCGACAAGGAGAATAGCCAGCCTAAAGATGCCTCGTCATCCAAGGCTACGGTCGAAAGCGCTACTGATACCGACGCAGCTGTCGCCGACGCACCCCCGTCCACCGCCTCGGGATCGCTCCCCGCACAGATTGAAGCCATGCTGAACGAGATCAACACTGTCTTGGCCAGCTTCCCGAAATACCCGCCGCACACGATCCAGCGCCTTGCTGAGCTCGTCCTCGAGCCGCGCCGCCATTACCGCCACCTGGCATCGTACCTCCATGCCGTCGACCGCGTCGTTCATGTAACCAGCGGCGCAAACACCTACCCTCTTCCGCCAGCCATACCCGACATGTCTACCATGACACTGCTCTCCAATGGCAGCGCAAACGGCCAGGAGATCAACAACCCGGCGGCTTCGGTCGCCTGGAGCAACTCGACCAACTCAGTCGCCTCAACCGTCGGCACAGACGAAGCGCTTGGCGGCGCTCTACTAACCCCGATCCCGTGGCTCACACGCCGACCAAGCCCCGGCTCATCCTCGCCAGCCTCTTCAAATGGTGGTGGACCGGCCGAGATTCGTACCGAGTCAACGGAGACCATTGATGGCCCTAATGGCGTCGGAAGTATCGAGACCGTCAGCGTCAGTGTCAACGGCATACCGTCTATGGGCGCCAGCAGCAGCCGCGCGATAACACAAGGTGAGTTACTGCGACAAGAGCAGGAGCAGGGCGTCGTTCCAGTCAACCAACTCGTGCGACAAGCAGAAGAAGCACAACACGCCGCCGCCCTACGAAGCGGGGACGGCGGCAGAGCCAGTAGCCCCGAGACGCAGCAGCAGGATGATGAGCAGCAGGACGCTGCCGGTGCTGCTGCCGCTGCTGAAGACGAGAACGAGGCGCCGCACGCTCGCGGTCCCGAGGAGATTGGTGTTGGCGACCTCGGCCCGCAGAGCGAGACGACGAGCTTTGTGGGCGGTGGACCCGGTCTTGACATGCAGGGCATTGATGTTGAGGCTGCGGTGGGCAGGAAAGCCGCCACCCCTCCTCCCGAGGACGTCAAGGAGGGTGATGCCGCGACGGAAGATGGGACGACTACGGATGCGGTTGTCGATGACGCGGCATCCGACACGAGTATCACGTCGCATCCTAAGCGTGATGCGGACGAGGAGCTCGATGGTCTGGCGAGCAAGAAGGTCAAGGAGCACGAAGGCGACATCGCGGGCGAAGCAACGGATGCTACAATCTCTACCTCGCCCAAGGAAGACGACACCAAGGAGGAGGATGTGAAAGAGGCCGAGCCTAAGGCCGAGGAGGGCAAAGATGAAGAGACTGAGGCCAAGAAGAATGACGCGGCGGACGAGGCTACTGCTGCAGAGGCGGCGGCGGCAGCGGCAGCGAAAGCGAAGGACGCGGAGATGGCTGCCAAAGCAGGAGGCGCTTAGGAGGGGACGGAATGGGGTCTTTCGCCCAATGAGTGAGTTGTGTTGCGGATGATTATATGATACCAAGAAACCGTCTTCACCAAAAGCCTACGTGATCGTTTGTCGTTCGTTTGATTTGAGATTTGAAGCATCGTCATGAGTTTGGCGTCGAGCTGGCGCGTTAATATCGACATGTGATGAAATCAAAGTCAGACATGAACAATTGGGCGAGAAAGATAGGAGAGGTGGCATCACAAAAAGCACAAGTGAGTGGAACAATACTCTCAACCATATCGTTGCCGACTCTAGTGGCAAGGTAGTATTCGTGTAGCTCTCTGACTACATGGGCGAAGAAAACAAAGCAGTAGACAACCGTAGACCTCCCAAACGCCATGCGCTATTCCATGGTCCATGATGAAGCAGCCCCGGAATCCCATACCTTTCCCGTATAAACGCCTTATGAACAGACATATTTCATTACAAGACTCTAGTGATACTCTCCTTCGTAATGACACTGTTCTGCTTGTCGTCTCGCCGGACCCGGAAGAAGCTGTCGCAGAAGTCGCTGCAGCGCATGTGTCGCAAAAACTCCTCGTCGTGCGTGATGACGATGAGCTGGAAGTTGCTCTGCGCCTGGCGTGCCTTGATGATGGCGTGGAGGCTCTCGGCGAGGCTCTTGATGTTGTCCTTATCGAGATTGGTCGTCGGCTCGTCGAGGGCGATGAGGCCGCAGTTGACGCCGAAACTCTCGGCGAGGGCGAGGCGGATAATAATGCTGGCGAGCACCTTTTGACCCGCTGAACAGCGACCGCGCATGTCCATCTCGGTGTCCTGCTTGACCATGCAGACGCGATAGTTGTACGAGCGGCGGCCCGTCGTCGCATTCTCGTTGTCGGAACGGATGAGGATGGTGTCAATATCGGTACCCTGGTACGTGCTCTGCCACAACTCGCCGGCGATGCGGTTGATCTCCTCCATCTTGAGGCTGTGGTACCGCATGATAGCCGTGTCCAGCGCCGAAATGTAACGGCCCAAGTCCTCAATGGCAGCTTTGGTTGTCTCAACCTTGATGTGCGACTCACGATACTTTCTGGAAGAGTTCTTGTACTCTTGTTGCCACTCTTCCAGGAGTCGCTCAAGTTCCTCGTCTTTTGTCTTCATCTGCCCCATGATAGAGCCACGGTCGGCGACCAGTCGGTTGTGGCGGTTCTCCAGGTGCTTTGCTTCGGAGATCAGCGACTTGTAATCCTCGTCAGCGTCACGAGACTCCAGCTCTGCAATGTCTCGGCGGAGGATGTCGAGCTGCTGCAGGTTCTGGCGGTACTTCAGGTTATTGCTGATATTTTGCTTCTTGCGATCACCGTTATCAATGTCCTGCTTCAACTTGTTCGTCCGCACGGTCAAGTCTGAAATCTCCTTCTCCAGGCCAGCAATCGACTTCTCGAGACTAGCGATAGCACGCTGGTTTGCTGCCAGGTTGGAAGGGCCGCCCCGGTCAATGTACTCCTGAATATCACTCTCGACCATCTTGAACTCAGTGACGGAGTCGGCAACCTTGTCGCGCTCCTCGGCAACAGACTGTTCCTTGCCACGGCCGCGTTGCAAAGTTTCGTCCCGGACTGATCTGGCCTCGGCGATCTCCGGCTCGATAGATTCTAGCTCCTGGTCGGCGGTGCTGATCAAGTCTCGTTGGTGGGCCTGATCCTCCTTTAAAGTCTGGATCTGGTTCAGGAAGTCCTTTTTGCGTTCAAGCTGGTTCAAGGCCTTGCTCAACTTATTCCGAAGCTCGCTCTTCTCCAGCTCGAGAGAGTTCACCTGGTCCCTCATCCGCTGCCAATCCGTCGTCGTCTTTGAGATCTTACCCTTTATCGTTCGAATCTGTTCGTTGCATGAAGCCTGAAGCTCGTGGATCTCATCAGCGCTCCTGCTGACGTTGCCAGACGATTGCTGAGACATGATTCTGTCAACCTGCGCTTCGGAGTCCTTGATGTCCTTCAAAACTTGTGTGATGTTGATGACAGTCTTGTTGAGAGACTCAATGTCGTTCAGTTTGCCTTCCTCGGTGCTGACAGCGGCGTCATGCTCCTCGAGCTGCCGGCCCAAAGTTTCACACTCCGCTTCGAAAGAGGCAACCTCTTCCTTTAGAGGAGGCAGCTCCGACATCAGCCTCTGGTATGTTTCGTACTGCGTCTTCACTTTCCGCAGCGAGCCAAGGAGGGCGTTAGAGTTGGCGAGATCTTCCTCTGCCTTTTCCTTCTTGTTGGGATCAAGAAACTTGATCAACTTGTCTGAGAAGCGAGACTTGGAGACGTTAGACTTGTCATCAAAGTTGCGGTCGCAGAGCCGGCATTTGTTCTTGTCTTGCAGGGTCTTTTGGCAGCCGCGGTAGTAATCTGCCAAAGCATCAAGAAGGCTGATATCAGTGGTGTACGTCTCCACGTCTTCCTCATGCATCTTGACTTCTTCTTCATAGTCCTCAATTGTTGCACCGTCTCGAACCGCCTGCAAAGCGCCAACGACCGCAGCCCGACAACGTTGTGCTTCATCGGTCTTTCTTGAACCAATGTCTTTAGCGCTCTTAAGTCTGAAGTCGACCTTCTGTTGCTTGTCCCGCGCAGTATCCCGTTTCTGACGAGCTTCAGAAACAACCTTGTTCTGGCGCTTCACGGCATCGTGGAACTGGGCCTCGAGAGTGTCGGTCTGCCAAGTAGTGCCGATATGCGTGTCTAGCTTGGGCTTCCATGTGGTGGCTAGGGTCTCCAGTTTTCGCTTGCGATCTGCCAGCTCTTTCTTTCTCAAATCCAGCTGTGCCCGCTCCGAGGCAAGTCTTGTGCACTCAATCAATTCGCGTCCAAGTTTTTCCGTCTCGCTTTCGAGTTGCCACAGCTTCTCGTTTTCCGACTTGAGCTGAGTATCGTAGTCGGCACTACTCAAGGACTCCTGAGCCTTCTTCAATCTGCCTTCGACATCCTCGAATTGGCTGTCTAAAATGGCCTTGGCGCCCTCGTCGATGTCCAGACGATTAATGTCCATTTGCAAGACATTGATCCGCTTCTCAATGGCACCCATTCGTTGCTTGGCGAAGACACGATTTTGCGTCGTGGTTGCCTTCCGGCCCTCCAGCTCCGTAATAACCTTGGTCGCCTCGTCTAGCTCACTCGCGTTCTCCTTTTGTAGACGTTCGAGATCCCGCTTCTTCTCAGCTAGTAGCTTCTGGATGCGCTCGTTGAACGCCTTGATCTGACTGTCCTTCAAGTCGCCATCGTAGCCGCGGAAACCGTGAAGTTCTGCTGCATCTCGGACCAATTGCATACGGGACTGAAGTTGCCGTTCATACTTGTCCTTGTCAGATTGGTGTTTTCCCTGCTCGGCGAGCTTCGCTGAATGTTCCCGACGAGACTGTGTGAGATCCCTTTGCAGCTCCGAATACTGGGCCTTGTTCTGCTCTGATTCTTCTTGGTACCGAGACATGCGCTCTTCGTACTGTGCAAGTGCATTCTCCAGGTATTCGTCGGTCTCGGGAAGCTCTTCAAGGGTCATCTTGATATCCGCGATGGATCCTTCGCGGTAGCTCAGTTGATCTCTCTTGAACTTGAGGTCATTGACGATGCTCAAATAGCTGTTGGCCTGCTCGTGCTTCTCGCGGATCTGGTCCTGAAGCTCCTCCATCTCCTCTGTGAGGGCATTGCACTTGTCCCTGGAGCTCTCGATATCGTTCTGCAATGCCATAGATCGCTTCTCGGCACGGTCGCCCTTCTCCTTGTTGATTCGGTCTTGTTCCTCAAAGATCTTGAGTTTGGCAAGTTCTTCGCCCTGCTTCTTTCTGAGAACCTTTAGGTTGTCAATGGCTTTGGTGTATCGCATCGCTTCGAAGATCTGGTCGAACTGCTTCTTCAGGGCCGAAGGCTCACTCATGGGCCAGAGAGATTCGTCCTGATGGCAGAAGATGACGTAGTCGAGGATTGCTCTGGAAACGCCCAATTCTCTCGGGATGAATTCATCCATCTGGGCGACCCGGGATGAAATGACGGTACGTTCGCCATGGTTGTTGTACACTAGTGATCCCTCGAGAGTCTTGAGCGATCGAGTGGTTTTCTTGATGGTTAACTGAAGGCTTCGTGTCGCAACGCATTTGTGGCTGCTAGTCGATGTGAACGCAAGCTTGACTTGGGCCAAGACTTCCTTCTCGCCGCAGAGCTGCAACATGTTAGCCTCACTAGGTGAATTGGGCGGAAGTATAAGGCACAAACCTTGGGGTCATGGACGAAAGCACCGCCTTTGCTGTTCGGAGGTTGCTCGCCGGTGGTCGCATACTTGAGACACTCGATAATAGTCGTCTTACCCGAGCCGTTGTAACCGACGATGAGGGTCAAGGGAGTGTAGAAGGAAATCGTCTCCCTGCTGCCACCAAAAGAGCGAATGCCCTGGATGGATAGCTTGTCAATTTTAGACATGGTGACTTGGGGCCAATGCCATGCGATGAGGTGGGATTGGGCTGATCAACGAGGCGCGGTTCAAGAAGACGTTGACACGAAAGTTTGGGCCCAATAGGAGAGTTTCGCAAGAAAGGCAGGCCTTTTTGTCTTCTCGTATGGGAGGTTGCTCCTGGGGGTGGCTCGTCGTCGCCGTCCAGGCTCCAATGAGGTCGGCACAGAGGCGGATAGGTGCCTTGAGTGGGATGCAGGATGTAGGGGACGTGCACCAAGGAGGACGCGCCTTCCCGGCAGCCAGGCACGCGTTGATGGAGGTGCGAAAAAGCGTGACCTCGCATACATGTTTATGTAAGCCGCTGTTGACTTGAGGTAAGGTACGGATACTCAGTCAAGCAATAAACGCTACAGAATGCTCTAGGTATCCGACGGCAATATCGTTACTGACTGATCCTCAGCACCGTCGCTCTCCTCAGATAAGGTACCCTACCTATAGTATGCGAGGTTCGATATAGGTACAGCGATTTGGGTACCTGGAAACGCCCCGAATATTACGGGAATACTAGATACAGCAAATTCAGAGTTGAGATGAAACCCATCTTTTGAATATTCCATCTCTTGTGTGTGCGCACCCTGGTAAGATAAGGTAGGGAGAGCAATTCGAAGTGGGGTGGGTTTCTGAGAGTCTTCACACAGCTCGAGCTACCTTAGGCACTTCCTCGGCTGGGGCGCTAATTAATAAGATCGGACTACTTTGGGAGAGCTCCTAACTTACCTAGGTGCCAGGTAGAGACGGTGCATGCACAACGTCATCGAGACAACTTGGGCTTATTCCTTTGTCAGAAGATGTTCGTACTGGCCATGAATGCTCGCAATATCCGTATGGAGACACATGTTTGGTAGGCATATTGGAAGGGTTTCTCCTTCAACTGCTTGTGAAACGGCATGTTTTTCGAGGCATTTTGCGCAACTGATGCTGTTGCTGCATTACATCACTGGATACCCTGCATCAAAAGGACAGGTACTATCAAGCAGGGTTCAGTTCTAAGGTAGTTTAGCAGATTCCGTCGAATATCTGATGGAGTTTTGTAATGTTACAATGCGAATACGCCATATCCATAGTCTTTTCTGGTGGATTGCAGGGAACATTACTCGAGTCAAGGCCTAGAGCGATCGAACAAGCAGCAAGTTGGAGTAAGCGCAGCATGCCCGCTCAACAAGAAGTCTTCAGAAGAAAAGTTTAGAAGAAGGTTGTGCGTATTGGGCAAGCATTCCGGACCTGACGCTCTGACTTTGGTCCTCAGCAGTCCTGATTTTCGTCTGGTTGACGGGACGGAGGGTGAATGACGACTACTGACATGCTGTAGTTTCCAGGTTCTCTACGGATAGTGGTTCCGGTACCATTTGACTTGGGCTGATGCTTTACTCAAGAGACAACCGCCAAGTGCCAGCCACAGTTCACTCGCGAGTTGTGAGGCGCAAGACCTGAGGCGTGAGACAGATAGCGGATACTTTATGGTTCGATGCCAAACAAGCCACGAGCCCACGACGTCCAGTCCTAGTTAGGTACTGTCCAACTCCAAGCCAGCCCCACTGAGTGGTCGGGCAAGCCTTTGACCGCTCAAATTGCTGTGCAAGACGGGGTCACAAATGGCTCTAGGTCGGGGCATTTGCTCCGGACAGCGCTATCCCAGTTGACAAGTTGGTCGACCCGTCGGGATGGGCTAGGAGCAGTGAGGGGATTATCGTTGTGCTGAGTTCTCAGGGCATCAGCCTTGGAACTACTTTTGATGGAGCTGGCTGCTGGGCATGGGCCGTGCATGCCGAACGCATGACCTATGGTGCCCAAGGCATACAGTAAGGCAAGGTGAGGAAACGTCAGGTAGATGATGCCATGTCTTTATCTGCTTGCCATGTGTTGCTATACACTAAGGTCTGGCTAGCGAGCAAGGTGAGGTGGTACGGCTTTCCATGAGATACTCCCGTACCTACCTACTTACCTAGTACTTAAGTAGGTAGGTAGGTATCGGATGGGACATGGAGAGTTTTCGGTGGGGTTTAAAGGATGGAGGTCTGGAATTGGGAGGGGGGATCTATAGAAGTGCACACACAGTAGGTAGGTACGGAGAATGGCATGGAGTGAGGTAATGTGCCAGAGGGGAGGGGAAGAGGGTGAAGTTGGAGGCAACTCATTGGGTGGAGAGAAACTGGGAAGTACCTCAGTCTCAGTGAACAGAGGCCCGGCGCCCAATGTGAATGGCCAAGTGACCCAACCCAATGCAAGGAAGGCAGGGTCGGGTGCGATGATGAAGTACCTGCCTTCCTTAAGGTAGGTACGGAGTACGTACTTGCCCGCCCTGTGTCTGCGACGGTGGAGGGGTGCAGCGGACCATCATCGGTGCAGTTAAAGACGGGATGCTTGAGGTGAAGGGGGGGGAAAAGTCCATGGCCAGAATTGCCATGTGCTCCGTTTCCATTTTGCAGTTTCCCATCCTTTTTTCCCACCTCATCTCAGGTCCCTGCTTCTTCCATTGCTTCTTGCACCTGCTGCTTCCGCTACCTTACCTACCGCTGCCGCTTCCGCTTCCCTTTTTTTCACCCGTATCCGTACCTTACCTTACCTTACTTTACGGAGCTCAGTTCCTCATGTGCGGGCTCGCAGCTCTGCACCTTCTGCATCCCAGCTCAAGGTAGCCATTCTGTCCCAGCCAAATTTTTGGATGGTGACGACTTGACCTTATTTTCTCTCTCCTTTCCTGCACAGCACTTTCGTGTGCCTCACACCTTCACGTCTCAACCTTTTTTTTTCCCTTTCATCTTTTCTCCCCCATTCACAGCGTCTCCTCATCCATTCCCTCTCATCCCATTTCACTCCCCCACCGTTCCGACGCAGCTTCTGATCTTCCCTCGCGACCTTGCATCGCTGGCCAGGCCAGGCCGCGCCTCGACTCGACCTCATTCTATGACCCGCGTGCCAACCTGACGGAACCCAATCCAACCCTCGCAAAGCGTCTCACAGCAGCCAAGACAAGGACCGTAGCCACGGGCTTTCCCTCTCTCTTTCTACTACGTACTGTCCATCTCACCGCTGTACTCACTCCCGCTTGATCTGGCCTTCCATCTCGGCCCTCGACTCACTCATCCACGCACTCAGCTCACTCACTCACTCGACAACTGGCTCCGTGTACTACTAGGTACTGCTGCCGCTACCGAACCCTCGCTTCCTTTTGCACCGCTGCGAACCAGACAGGCATAGTTAGCCTCTGTACCGATACTCATTCGCAGCTGCAAACCCATCTGGCCCTTTTTATTAATTGATACGAGACCCCGTCGCTTGGAAACATTTCACAGAGAAACATACCAACACCACCACCATCCCCGTCGACCTTATCTGGGTGCCCTCCGCTTTTTCTCTCTCTCTCTATTCCTCGTTCTGTTGCATCCGCCGCACGCACTCTGACGTCGTCTACGAATCCCATTCTTTGGCACTCTTTCCGACAAAAGAGACAAATAGACGTTCTGACCAAATAGACATGCAAGGCTAAGCCCACTACTCGATGCACAAAGCCCCGTACCAGCTTGCGCCCTACATTCTATCTTGATCTATTTGGGTCCTAGGCCTCTCCGGATCACCAGTTCCTACTCCCCGCACCTGCTCATACCCATACGACGGCCCCCGCGACTTAGACCAACGAGCTCACTCTCTCGCGCTTTCACAGCTCACCGTTGTTGCACACCCAGTAAGCTGCTGCTGGTTGTACCTGGCATTGGCCCCAGTTCGAACCTGGTCCTCGCTCCAGCCACAGGCGCAAGCAACCATCTTATCGCAGTTTGAGTTGCCAACACACGCACGAGACGGTACATACCTTACGAATAGACCCAGCCGATTTACAGTACCTACCGCCGTACATTGGCCGCGAGGTGAACGGGACCGCGTTCTGCTCCCCCCGGGCACACTTCCCGTGCATCGGTATCAAGTCAGCCCCCTCAAATCGCCAATGCCTTTGTTAGAAGCCGTCAGGGCCAGTATCGGAACAGTACCGCAACCATGTCCCACGGACCACCTCAGCCTCCAACCAATTTTCTTGGCTTTGGGCCCCAAGATGCCTATTCCGCCTTTGAAGCTGTTCGTCCCGCCCGCTTTCCTAACCATGCTCCTCCTCCTGATCTGATAACTCACTTTCTTCCCCTCGACCGCCTCGCTTACCTCTCCTCTCTGTCACCCTTCCCGACCTCCGACCCGCCAGACCCCCCCGGCGCATTGTTTTGAGAAGCCACCCCCATAACTACAATTCGCTACAGACCGCTCCCAACAACGCGCTGACGCAATGCAGATGGCGGAAGCCGACCCCAACATCATGTCGTCTCTCCTGGACTCGACAGTCTACGGAAGCTTTGATGCCATGTCCATGAGCGTCGACAACCCTAACGACGAGAACGCCATGTCTACCTTCAACTTTGTCGGCAATACACCAATGCCCGACGGCCTCCCCGACGATACCCCTTCCATGAATAACAATTACTCCAACAATGGCGACGATGCCTCCAGCGTAGTTGGTGGGGGCCCCATGCCCTCGAGCGGCTTCAATTCGCAGGCTTTGCAGCAGGCCGGCAGCACCCTCACCGAATTCACAAAGAGGCGCAACTGGCCTGCGAAGGTCGTCGAAGAGCTTAAAGACTTCCTCCAGATACTCGACGCCAATGGTCGCATACGTTTCGTCTCCCCGAGCATTCTAAATCTTACGGGCTACACCGCCGACGAAATCCTCGACACGTTCCTCAAGGAACTCGTCCACCCCGACGACCAGGGCGTCTACGTCGCCGAGCTAAACGAGTCTATAGCATCAGGAAACCCGCTACGCTTGTTTTTCAGGCTAAAGAAGAAGGATGGCAAATACGCCATTTTTGAGTCTGTTGGTCACGCCCACATTGCCGCATCCAAGTTTGCGCCGAACCCGCACAATCAAACGCCATTTTGCCAAGCCGTCTTCATGATGTCGCGCCCGTATCCAACAAAAAATGCCGGCCTACTGGACTCATTCCTGGAACACAAGATTGAGAACGAACGTTTGAGGAGGCGCATTGCTGAGCTGCGCAAGGAGGAAGAGATGGAGAATGAAGAATCACAGAGGCAGTGGCTCCAGAGCCAGGAAGGCAGGTCGGACGTAACACCATCGGAAACCACAATGACATCCGCCCCGAGCGCCATATCTCGGGCCGGTGACGGAGGCGACAGGTCATCGGCCCTCAACGTTGCGCTTACACGCGAAGCACTGGAGGGTGTTGCGGGGAGCCGCCCAGACTCACTAAAGGACAAGATGGCTAGATATGAAGGGAACTCACACACTGATACCATTGAGATGTTGACCGGACTGAGATACATCGAGGGCGAGAGGAGCCGCGGCATCACAACAGGAAACGCGAGTCCGACCTTGATCAAGGGAGACGCGGGCATTGCGATTCCACAGGACCGGGACCCTCGGACAGGTGACAAGAAGAAGAAGCTCAAGACTTCGGAGGAATATGTCTGCACGGATTGTGGTAAGCTCCAACTTGGATGCGGTTCGCAGGCTGCTCGGTATGGCAAGATGCATGCAGCACACCGGCTAACGATGATGATCTGAATAGGTACCCTGGATTCTCCGGAATGGCGCAAAGGCCCAAGTGGACCGAAAACATTATGCAACGCGTGTGGCCTTAGATGGGCCAAGAAGGAAAAGAAGAATCGACATGGTAACAACAACGCTCATCACTCAGGATCGTTGCAAGTCGAGCATGGCGGAGGTTAAGTTTTAATGAGTCACCACTGGCGCATTGGTCGGCAAGTGCCCACGAGGGCTGCCCTGGGCGTGGTCATTCCACATGCACCGGAGTTGGCGTCTGGAAGACGGCATGGCGCAGGATATCAACTTTGACGGACATGCAGCTGTTTGCCATGTTTCCAGCTTTGTTATTTCACAGCAATCAAGATACCTGAAGACGATTAGGTCATGGGAAGGAGGAAGGTCGTAGTTTTGGCAAGAGCAGTTTCCAACAGCAGAATCTATTCCGAGCCATGTTGCTTCAACTGACGGGGTGATCATCCGGTCAGGCGAGTCAGATGCAGTTGATGTCCGTAGCGGCTCGGGCGGGACCTACCCGGACGTGCGGTCCTGTTTATCGCAGTTCGGCCGGCGGTCAAGATTCGACCCCAGTACCGGCTAAGAGGTGTAGCCTGGCTATCGGCGGGCGGCAGGCATCGCATCGTGCCTGGCGTTCCGAAGCGGATCAGCGTTTGGCATGGACTGGTTACCTCGGCCACAGCTTGCCTCTCCAGGTTCTTCTCGCGGCAGAGGCGTACGGCTGAATACAGGCTGCCAGGCTCGGGATCTGGGTCGATTGCAGAGTATTACATCCGTTCCAGACCTGGATTCGCCTTCGTTCACGCGTCCATGGCCATACTATCGACTGGCGTTGACACATGAAAGCCCGGGGGTTTCCTGAAACAGGTTGTTCGCCCTGGAGCTCTACACGCAGCTGGGCAGGCTTCGTCCTCGCATAGAGGCGACTCAGGTCATCCCCGTGCAAATGAATTGCAGCCACTACCTTACGCTGCGCGACTGCTCGCGAGGGTGTGCAGAGCTTGCTACTGTGGGCGGGAGATAGGAAGCTAAGGTACCTAAGCAACCAAAGATGCTAGGTTCCGTTGATCATCCAGGCGGGGGTCCTCTCACAGAAAGGACCCCGCTGTCGGGTCGGATCAGCTGTGGAGGGGTACCTTGTGAGGGGCTACTTCAGGGTCCAACTGAGGAGCACTTGCCAAGGCACCGGCCATGGAGCCCAAACACCTCACCTCACGAAAACATCTGGCCCGGTTCTCAACGACTGAACATATTGTATCGCCTGCTCCGGCGTGTGCAAGCATCGAGCTGCGTCATTTGAGTTGCACTACCGACATGAGTAGTTTGTGGACGGCCCGGGGGCTTGTGGTCCCCTACCCATGTACAGCTAGCTAGCTTGCTCCATAAGGTACCTTACAGGATGTGATCGTAGTGGTTCCATTCTACCGCCTGTGCTGCTCAGGTTGTTGATTGTGGCTGTGAACCGGGAGGCCTATCCGACCAAATCAACAGTCTGCCACAGATTCATTGGATGCCGTTCGATTCTGATTCGACGTTGCTTCTGATTTCGGAGGGGGCATGCCATGATGCATGGCCAGCTCAGGGCTCCTGAGACAGTTGATCGCCCGCTTGGTGATGCGGAGACGTGGCTCGCCTGTGCTATTTACAAAGAGCTATCAAAACCTGGGACTGCCTTACTTTGCTCTTTAGTTCTTCTCATTCGCGTCTTCTTTCCTCTCCTCATCATCACTTCTCTGTTTTCTTCACTTCTTGCAAGACTAAGCGTTCTCTGCCACAAGAACCCCCACACTATTACATCATTACCCATCATCATCATCAAGCTACGACAAGCTTCTTCGCAATGGACAAGCTCATGAACGCCGCGCAGGAGTACCTCGCCAAGGACGACGATAAGCCCAAGCAGCACCAGCAGCAGGGCTACGGTATGTGTGCTCGTTCTCGCTCTTTACAAGCCTGATTGCCTTCCATTGGGATAGGATACCTTGGTACCCCGCTGTCCCGGATCTTAACCCCGCCCCCGCCCCTGAATATCACCCAAAGTGAAAGAGACGGAGAAAGAAGAAGCGTTTGACTGATTGTGATGCTGGAAATCTAGGTCAACCCCTTCCCGGCGGCGATAGTAAGTTTTCTTCTCATGCTAAAGTCTTTCCATCTCATGTTTTTTTTTGTTTTTGTTTTTTTCTTTTTTTAAATCGGACCGAGTTCTCGTTGCATTTGGGAGATGTCAATCAAATTGCTTGGTTTGATTAGCTGCGTGTAATTGACTGGCAGAGACAGAAATTGAGAGTTCAAGTGCTAGCTAGCTAATCACCTCATGTGTTGAAAAACAGAGTCCCACGGAGGCAACTACCCCGCCGGCGCCGGAGCCTTCGCCGACGACGATGACGAGGACGATTACCGCCACGCCGCCAACGAGGCCTCGCGCCACGCGGGATCGCACGGCGACACGGATCTGTTTTCGAGCGTGCTCGGCGCCTTGACGCAGAAGAAGGGACAGTTGAGGAACGAGGATATTGACGAGGATGGTGCGTTGGTTTCTTGTCTTTCTGGACGCCACTACCCTATACCCCCCTTTACACTTCTTTCCAACGAGCAAATTCTCTTTTGATTCCTGAATACCTCGTGGTACCATGGTGTCGAAAAGACAGGAGAGGTAAAGAGGGGAGTGAATGAGAGAGAGGGAGAAAAAAGAAAAAAGAAAAAAGAGAAAAAAAAACTCATCTACACCAGAACATCAGTACTGATCTAGAGTAAACAGAGGCCGTCAACAAGCACAAGAAATACTTTGGCGACGACGACGACGACGACGAAAAGGCAGACGACAAGGGCCTCGGCGCCGCGGCCGCGATGCAGGCGCTCAAGATGTTCTCGAGCGGGCAGACGGGCGGACAGAAACAGTCCCAGGGCGGGTTCGCCGGTCTCGCCATGGCCGAGGCCAGTCGGGTGAGTTTCCCCCTCTACACTTACACATTCGTCTACGCCTCCATCTGCACCTACATATCCATCTTCGCCTCTGCTCTACTCCCCCGATCAGCCACACCCTTCGGTTGGCGTGGAAGGAGTAGAACAAGTACAAATGTAAACTAACCCCCCCGCTTCTCTCTCCAATAGCTCTTTGACCAGCGCCAGTCCCAGGGTAAGGTCGCCGACGGCACGAGCAAGGAGTCTGCCATCCAGCAGGCGGGCGAGATGGCGCTCAAGATGTATTTCAAGAGCCAGGGGCAGCAGCAGGGTGGTATCATGGGCCTGGCGTCCAAGTTTATGAAATAAAGTGTCTGTCCAAAATCTCACGATAGATACGGAGAAAGCACGGGGAAACCCACAAAGGGCATGACAACGAAATGAAATGAAGTGACTGATATAAAGACCCCCTGGAATTGTTCTGTGCTTGATTCATCATCATGATTAGATTTTTTGCAGGCTAGAGGTACTGAGATACGATTACATTGTTTTCTGATATACTTGCAGTGGACACACCATGGTGCATGAATACGCTCCCTGCCCTTAGATGTTCTTCTTTGCCTCGAGGCCGCCGTTCTTGGCAACCTCGACGACATCCACCCACCCCTCGGGCCTCTGCCGCCCCTCGGCGACCAAGTACGTCTCGGCCTCCTTCGCCCAGCCGAGAAGCTGCTCCTCGCAACCCCACTCCGCCATGGCCATGAGCCCGATGGGGACCTTACCCTCGCCCTGCACGGGATCGACGTAGCCCACGGGCGCCGTGACGGCGGGACACCCGCTCACGTTGGCGACGTAGACGTAGCTCATGTTGGCAATGGTGGTGTTGGCATCAGAGACGCCGTACGCGTCGTCGCCGGGTTGGCGGGGCCAACCGGGGAGCGGGGTGGTGGGCGTGACGATGAGCATGCCCGGGTTCTGCTCGTAGAGCCAGGCGACGTGCTTCATGAGCAGGTCGCGGAGCTGGGCGTACTTCATGTAGTCGCCGGCGGGCGTCTGCGTGCCGACGGACATTGTGATCTTGTTGGCGTGGTTGATGATGGACTGCCACTGTTCCGGGTCCGGGTGGCGGTGGCGGGCGAGGTCCTGCATTTCCGTTACGCAGGTGGCCGAGTGCATGAGCTGGATCTCGCGGAGGTAGGGGATCTTGATGGGGACGACGGTGTAGCCTTGGGATTTGAAGTGGTCTACGGCGCGGCGGCAGATTTTGGCGACGGACGGGTCTGCGCGGGACCACCACGCCTCGTCGATGCCGATGAGTTTCGGGGCGGAGGGGGAGTGTGCCGGGGAGGGGGTGTAGAGCCCTTGGATGGGGTCGTCTGGGTTCGGGCGGGACATGAGGCGGTAGGTGATTGTGAGGTCGGCGACGGTGGCGGCGAGGGGGCCGACTACGCAGACGGACGAGTTCATTGCCATTGTGCGGTGGTGGGAGGGCTTCAGGCCGTAGACGGAGTTGAAGGAGCTCGGGATGCGGATGGAGCCGCCGGCGTCGGTGCCGATTGCGATGGGCACTATGCCGGCGCCAAGGGCGGAGCCGGCTCCGGAGGAGGAACCGCCGGGGTAGTACGATTTGTTGTGCCAGTTGGTGGGTGTTCCCCAACGGGGCTATTTTCAGAAAGTCAGCTATTGAACCAAAGGGTTTACAAAGATTTCGTCTTCTGAAACACCGTATTCTTGACTCACGTTGCAACCGTTGGTATCTATAGGCCCTGTCAGCTTGTTCTTGTAAGTCTTGTTGGAGAGCGGCAATACGGACCTCCTCCCAGCTCATGCATGGCATTCTTGCCTAAGACGATGGCGCCGGCGGCCTCAAGTTGCTGGACAGGCCATATCGTCTTGTCGGCGGCCTTGAACCACGGCAGGTCGGGACGGTACTGCATTCCATTGTGGCTAACATAGCCCTTGACGTCGCAGTCATCCTTGACACCAATGGGGACGCCGTCGAGGGGCCCCAGGGTCTTGCCATGCTTCCATCGCTCAGTGGAGGCGCGGGCTGCGTCGATGGCGAGGTCCTCACGGCCGTGGGATGCCACCCAGGCGTTTGCGTAGGGTCCCGTCTCGGGCGGCGGGTGACCTTCTGCGCGCCGGATCAGGGGCAACAGTGACTGGACTACGTCCAGCGGGGTGACGGCTCCTGAGGCGTAGAGGGCCTGGTAATCTGCGCTGGACAGGTAGCGGCCTGGTTGGTCTTGCGGTGCCGGGGTTGTCAGGTCCTTGGTGAGCGCGAGAGGTTCCGGGTGGGATCCCGTTTCGGAGAGGACGAGTACATCGGGCTGTTGATGAGTGTCAGCGGCATGGAGGTTAGATTGCGAGTGTCATTTGAAGCTCAGCAGTGAGCAGGAGGTTGAGAAGAAGAAGACGGACCTGGAAGCGGTATCTGTAATCGACGAGGCCCGGGAGGTCTCTAATGGAGCCGAACTTGGCGTTGCGCCAGAAGAAGCGCTGGATGACGCCGGAGTTGGCGAGTCTACGTAGAATGGGTCAGCTCAAGAGCTAGCATGTGAGTGAGACTCAATACGTACGCCGTTGCACCCGCCACAAGAGGCCAGCCGCGGAGGACGGGGTTCTGGTCCTCCTTTTGGGTCTCTGTCTTTACTTGCGTCGGCGCCTCGCGGGCACCGGGGTAATTGGCATATTTGCGGTTCGGAGCCATTGTGTATTTCGTCGGACTGTGAAGTTGCTCCCCGATTTTTTTGAAAACTGATTTGGTGTCTTTACGTCGTGGACCGCAGTTGACACGGACGCCGAGGCAGTTGGTCAAGGATGAGTGTCTTTTGGACCAGCCGACGTGTTACGAAGGAAGAAGAGTTGGAGCTATACGAAAACGTCGAAGCAGAGCTAAAGTAGATTAAAGAAAAGTCTCAAAACCTGGATAGCAGGATCAGAAGCCGTTGGGAAGGGCCGTCGAGGGGACCCTTTTGGGGGAAGGTCAAGCTCGGCTGAGTGAATTTAGAGTTTCAGGGGGGTTGTTGTTGCTTGAAGAAGCAACGGAGAGGGACCCTAGGCTGGGAGCTTTGGCCTGGGAGACTAAGGTAGGTAGAGTATGTGTAGCTTCTTAGGAGCGGACACTCGGACGATTTTGGAGGTTGAGGGCGAGCAAAAGTTGAAACGAAACGGATAAGCGAAGCGGAGCAGATGGGAAGTACTCTCTGTTCGGACTACTGTGTTTCTTTCCCTTCCATCACTCCGTAATCACGTCGGACTAAGGTAAGGAGGGGTGTGGAGGGCTCCCTTGCGTTAGCTCGTCTTACCTTACCTCAGATGTCTGTGGTTGGTGATGCTTCTGAGTGCTGAGGTAGAAAACTATTGAACATAGGTACTCCGTATACTCCGTAGCGAGAAAGCCTTTCAGGTTTCGGGACCCGCGCGGGAGCTCGGATCAGCGCGGTGCAGCGCACGCTGCAAGCTCTCTTCTCTAGGTACTAAGTAAGAGCGGTTCCCAGCAGCTGAAAGCCCCATTTTCCCAAGAGTTCCTGGGGCTAAAAACTTGCCAAGGTATCGCCGGTCGACCGACCTTCCCTGCCCAGTGTTAAAGATAAACGCAGGCACGTTTGGCACTCGCAGACGTCACGAGCAGCTTCATATGCCTCGGCATCTCCAGTCGAGTTCTGGTGCTAAAGGTGTGGAGACTGGGGAGAGGGGACGGCGGCGCGCTGCCTATCTCGTGCTTTGGTGACATTCTCGTCGAGAGCCCGTGTTGCTATTGGCCGCGCAGTTGATGTGCGGGCAGGTCTCCAATTGACTTGTCTTATTCGCTAGACCAGCCACAGAGACCCCTCCGACTGGATCCGAATGGGCAGCACGTAAGACGTAAGGTAAGATAGGTTTATGCCCATCCAGCTGGATTCGCTGTGAATAGACATTGGAAGCCAGACAAGTCTGCTCAACTCACCAGGGTCCGGATGCATTAAAGCGAGCACCAGAAAGGGTCCGAGTTTTTGGGGTTGCTTCTCTGTCAATGTTGTTGTTTCTGCCAGTGTGAGATGCGCAAAGGAGCGGTCTGGGGGCCCGCGTACGGGGTTCCTCGCTTTATCGCTATCGAAGGGGGTCAACATACCGTCCCGTCCCGGACCATCTTATCTTATCGATAGGACAGAGAGATAAGGTCACTCGGTGCGCGCAGCGTCGCAGTCGCGTCGGGGCCACCTTCCCAACCCCACACTCAAGCCGATCTCCCGTCGGTCAAGACACCTCGAGGCGCACGCGACCTGAAGAAGGCGCAAAGAAAAAAAAAACCCAGTAACTGGCGCCTTCCGAGTCCCGACTACGGATACATCCGCGGAGTTTTTTTTTTTTTCTTTTTTTTCCTTTTCTCACTTACAAAAAAAAAAAGAAAAGCCAGTTGGGTAAGGTACCGTACCTTACTTTTGTTTTCCAGTCTGCATGTAGGGTCCTGTTCAAAGATATATTTGCACATCATATAGACTGTCTAATAAACGCCTCAAACTAAAGATACGACATGATCGAAACCGCGGCCATCGCAATCCTGTCCCCGACGCCCGCGAATCTTTACCCCAGGATCCCATGATTTGCACATTCCCACGATGGCACGATCGCCACTGCCCCGGGAGGGCGCTAGAGGCAAGGGAGCACCAACCCATCTGGTTTTGGCACTTTTTTTTTTCCTCTTTACCCCGCCATCCCGCTATGAGCTAGTTTCCGTAAACTGCCGTCGAGGAATCGTTTCCAGAAAAGTGAACTTCACATGCATTTCCGAATTGGCGAGGCATAGACTAGGCTCTCATGCAGGTGCATGCGTCTTTCTCCACATCTCAATTCGAGTTCGTTCGGATTCCACTAAGCTTTTATCACGATATGGCAGATTTCTGAGAGCATTTCCCACATAATTTCACGCTTCATGGAGCACTCAGTGACGAGGAAAGGAGCCATTCCCATTTTTGACTCTGTACTTCTACATACGGCCGCGCTGTTCCCGTAGGAATAAGCTGTTTTCTGGCCAGATGCCCATTTCGCTCGCTCGCTCGGAACCAAGACGCCGTTCCCCTTGATTGGAAGTTTCCTCCAAGAAGCCAACGAGGGCCCAAGGTTTCTTCTCAATCCCTATGTCCATGCCGTTTCCCACGGCAGCCAAACGAGTGATTCTCCCATGTTTCCTGAGGGGTGTCATACCAGAGAGAGAAAAAGAGAGAGGGAAAATGATGAGATACAAAGAACTGAAAAATCCCAAACGCCATGCCAATCCGAGTTCCGTAAAAAACGAAGGAAGTGAAAATCCTTTTTTCTTTTTCTTCTTGCTCATCAGCCCATGTCCGGAAATTCGTCTGAATGCTGGTCATAATCGTGGGTGTTGTTGAGAGCGTAAAAATATTCAAAGAAGCCCTGGCCTCTGCAAGGGCATCTGGTGGTGTCGTGAAAAGAGGTAAAGCGGTTTTGTTGATGAGTTGTTTTGGGGCTTGGGGTATATGATGAAAGGTAAAATGCAGTGGGACAAGGGCTGCCTTGTCCGCCCGTTGTCATGATGATAGGATCTGTCTCATTCATGCTCGGAGTTGTTGTGTACCATGTTGTGTGATGTGGCGGGAGAATGCGGACTGGGCGGTGAGCGCCAGGATGACGCTGAGGTGAACAAGGGGCGAAGATGGCAGGCGTAGGCCGAGAGAGTGCTTTCTTCTGAACAAGCTCTTTATTTCTTGGCCATGTTGGTCTGGAGTCGCAGAATTCTAGTCCGGAACCAAAGAACGAAGCTCGTCCAGGCACCCTGCGTCTTGCGCTTGGCTGTCTGGGAGCGACGGGGACCTTCGAACATGAGCTCATCAGCAACAGGCTCTTGACCCTGGTTGGTGCTGGCGTAGTTGCGGCTGGCAAATCCAACGTCGCCCTGGGCACCCATGGCCAGCTTCTCAGCATCGGTAGTGGCCTTCTTGGCATCCGAGGGAGTCTTCTTGCGACTGATGGAAGGGCGGATGATGTCGCTGGAGCTGTTGCGGGTGCTGTGGGAGAAGCTCTGCTTTCGGGCGGCCTCCTTTGCCTCTCTCTTCATCATCTGGTGCTGCTCACGCTCGTAGCGCTGTGCCTCTTTGAAATCGGCACGCTCTCGGTCGCGCATGTCCTTCTTGTCCTTCTTCTCACTCTTCTGACGCTCCTTCTCCTCCCAACGGCGGCGCTCCTGGCGGATACGCTCCTGGTGGTAGTTGGAGTCGAGCTCAGAACGAGAGCGAAGGCGGAAGCCGTCAATGGAGGTGCGAAGAGGCGACATGGCAGTGACGGAGGTTGAGGGTGAAGCTGAGGATAAAGGTGAAAGTACAGGTGCTGTACTACTGGGGGCAGCTGACTCTGAAAGCCTGCCTGCTGAGATGTTGATATCCGAGTGACTAGATACGTGGACTAGTCGTGATGAGGTAGTGTTTGAATTTGTACGACTGGTGTTGATGCGCAACGACGGAGGACCAGTATGGTTGTTGATATCAGATAGAGAGGAAGTGCGGCTTGCCAGTGAGGGTCGCCTGGGGTAAGAAGAGGAGGAAGGATTGCTGGTGATGGGGATTGCAGAAGATGAGGGTAATGGCGGGTGGTATTTGTTGCGATGATGTAAATAATGTTGATCGAGCAGATCGTCGTCGTCTTCTGTTATTGTCGGGGAGTAGTCGCGGGGAGCAGGTATGCCGGCAGAAATATTGGTGTTGCTATTGCTGTTGGCGTGTTCGATGCTGGCGAGAGAATTGGCGTACGAGAGAGGTGGTGTTGAGGTACGCGGTGTTTGTTGGAAAGGGTGGACGAAGCTGCCGTTTCGCTGGCCACTGCCACTTGTAGCAACACTGACGTGGGAGGTGCCGCTGGTTGAACGGGCGTGGGAGAATTTGCTCCTTCCGTTGTTGATGCTGCCGCTGTGGTGAAGTTCGGTGGCCGAGATGCTGAAGCTGACGTCCCTTCCCCCAAAAGATCCTTCCCTCTCTCGTCCCAGGCTGCCACCACCCAAACTGCTCCCATAGTTTCCAAACATTGTCTGCTGCTCATCCCACCCACGGTCCAAATCCAACGAGTTCTTTTCCGAGTGCGACAGCTTCTTCAGTATCGGCTTCACCACTGGTTTACTTCGCGACTTGGACAATTTGCCCGACACCGCAGCGCCCGTTACATCCGTGTACGAAGTCATCCTTGCTGACCTTGTTGTTTACAGGCAGATTACACCTCTTGCACCCGTCTCCAGCTCCGGTCCCTGTCCTTTCCTACGCTCTCCTGATGACGGCGTCGCGTGCTGGTGCTGCCGACGTCGATCGCGGTGGCGGCAGCTTGCTTGACGGATCAAGCTTTTCTCTCGACCAACTGGTGATGGCGATGGCCAGGCTGCCAGACCGGGACGAGTCCTACACCATGCAGGCCGGGGCCGCAGACCGCACCCCAGTCTCTCAGAGACGACTCTCTTTACAGCGACTATGATCACCGGACGCGATGCATGGATCGGGCAATGGGAGATACGCAATGGCGACAAAAGGCGACGGCAGCGGCGACAACGGCTGCTATGGTTCGATGCCAAAGACGACGCGATGTGTCTGGTAGTGACTGTGAGCAAATTTAAATCCACCGAGACGAAGAAGCGGCGGTCATGTCATCCAACATACGGTGAGACTTGGACCCAGATGGGAGGGGGAGCGAGATGAGCGGCGCCGGGGGGGTTATCTAATGGGCGAGATGAAAGGTGGGAGCGACAGGCTGACGCAGCGGAATGGGCGGAGTCCCCAGGCGGATGGGATGGGATGGGACGGGATAGGATGAGCGATGGGGAAGAGTGTGTGGCGGTCGTCTCGGCCTGCCTCACCTTGTCGTTTTCAGCAGACACTGCCCACGCAGAACTGATTCAGCGACTGCAAGGCCAAGAGCTCGTCGGCTCAACCCGAGTGCGAGTAGGCCAAGAACGACTGTCGTTGCCGTTGTCGTCCTCGTTGTCGTCACCCTCCAAGAACGACTGTCGTTGCCGTTGTCGTCCTCGTTGTCGTCACTCCTCTTCACCTGCTGCTGCTGCTGCTGCTACGTCGTCGTCGCCGTAGTGCTTGCTGCGAGTAGCAGTGGAAGACAGCTACACGGTCTACCTGCTCCAGCGGAGAAACAAGATGAGGGGAGGGAAAACGAGAATGGGGAAACGAGACACAAGAGTGACAAGACACCCCAAGCAAGTTCAAGTTGCACAAGGGCCAACACCGACCGTCCGCATCGGCACCAGGAAACAGCGAGCCCAGGCCACCGCCAAAAAGTGCGCCGAGCATCCGCAACCCGCTTGGCTACGCCTGAATCAGCCTCATTCCTTTCCCAACTGGCATGGAGCACGTGGGGGAGACCAAGAAATGCGCCCGGAGAAGGATCGAGTGCACCGAGCTGGAGCGCGAGACTTTGACATGGAAGAAGGAGGGGTTACCCTTCTAAAGCGGAAGCAGTGGTGTGGCGTCGTTTGGAACCTTTAGCCCGCCGGTTTTTTTAAGGTTACGGGCTCTCAGGACAGGCCCAGACGGCTCAGCGTTCCAGAGGTTGCTTCCGGAGTGTCTTGCCCCAGGGAGCGCGGTCGACTTGCGTTTCTTTTCGCTATATCTCTGGATGGCTGACTGGGTTGGGTTTGTTTACAACGAAGCGGATATGTTTTGTTGATGTTGCGGCTTTTTCCCAGGGTCTGTCCCCGAACAAGGCGTTACCGGTGAGGTGAGAGAAAAGGCGGGCTCGTGGGCCTCAGGTGATCGAATGAGAGGGCCTGGAGAAGTGAGACTGGAGACTGGAGAATCAGAACTAATGAATATTATCTGGGTCCGGTCCCGGGGTCGACCGGGTGGGAACAGACGGGGATTTGACGTCGGCGATGGCAAAGAAGCAGGGCAAAGCGAAGCCGTGCAAGCGATGGTGTGAAGGGGGCCTGCGAATCTACGGCCACTGCGCCGAGGACTATTGTGGAGAGGACGGCATTGGCGCTGGTGGTGTTTCTCTCCCGCGTTGCTAAAGGCAGTGGCAGTGATCATGGTAGTGACATTGGCTGCCTCTGCTGAGTTTCTTTCTGCTCACCACCTCAACGCCGAGCGCAGTGCAAAGAGAACGTGACCTACATACACGAACAAGACTAACCCCCCGGTTTCCGGGCGCACCGCCGCACACAAGCACGCGCGCAAACGCAAGAACTGCGTCTAGCAATCCCACGTTACCTTACGCCCAGCCAAGGCCGAAGCAGGAATGGAACAGCGGACCAACTAACGGTCAGAGATTGATGGGATGAGATGGGATGGACGACGTGGGCGAAAGATGAGAGAAGGTGCCAGGTGCCAGTCTCCCCGTCGACGGCCTTGCTCTGTAGTAACGGTACCAACAAACGGCTTCTCGCACACAGGACACACTGACTGGCACAACCTTACACCAGCAACCCCCAAGCAAAGTGTGTGTGTAAGAGACACACACAGCGGTTGGCAGGTCACCCTCACCTTGTCGTGCGTCGGATCAGTCTCATCTAAACACACAATTCGCCGATTGCAATTTCCAAATAAAAAATCTTTCGCGCGTGGCGAAACCAGAACAACAAGAAAGCCTCCAGGAACATCTGTTTGCGGATGATGCAAGTCACAGCAGCGGCCAGCCCCAGCCGCAGAGAGAACAAGACGAACAGAAAACAAGATCCTTTCAAAGAGAGATGCCGCGAGACACAGGCCGTCTGGGACACAAAGTCGACCCCATCGTTCTCGAATTGAAACAGAGCTGCATCAAGCTAAAAGGCTACACTCTGCGAATGAAAACGCTCCAAATCCCACGTCCCGGCACCCATCCCCAGCCCCCCTTCCGGGCCCTCCCTCAATAATCCTCATGCGCTTGTCCACTCACCGTCTGCAGCCCATTCCTAGTCAGGTTCGCGCTTCACGGGATGTCCTCCACATGCGAACATGGGCGACGAGAAGGAACGGGGCAAAGTGCTCTCTCCGGCAAATCATCTTGACCGTCACTTTCCATCACCCACCAGTGGCCAGTTGCAAACGCCAGACTCTCATGAATCAACATGAATCTCCGGCCCGAATGCTAGGCTCACCTAACCACCCCCACAATCCTGCATCCTTTAGAGATGACGCTTGCTTTCCCCCAATCACCATCGTCAAGTGCCTCACCACAGGTCCGGAGTGCTGTGCTCAGTGTGTTGCAGGACAAAGCTTGCCTCTCGTGTGCTTATTATATCTGCTGTCAACGTCAAAGGTCACCCAGGCCAAAGTCAAAAGTTCAGAAGTATTTCCCTTCTCGACTCTGGATTTAATCTAGCACGCCATGCCTTGTTCATTGTCAAAGGCACTCCCTTGACATGGCAAAACTTCAAGAGACATCCGATGACGATGACGAGCCTCGGGCCGCTTCGTGGCAGCAGCATCAGCAGCAGCAGCATACAATTTCGCCCAGGACTAGGGTTTGGACATGATACACCAAGACAGAAAGCCGACTCGGTTAACAACATGGACGATGCGGCAGCCTTCGTACGTAGTCTTTTCCTCGATATGTGGGCTGGGCCATTGGTGCTGCCACTACGGTACCGCCGCCGCCGCAACCACCACCACCACCACTACCTCTAGCAACACCAACGCCAGCGTCAACGAAATTCCTGTTTTGCTGGCTTCCAGCTCTGTTCTCTGACAGGCTGCTCCCCGCACAATGCCAACCTGTAGTTGCACGAATCAAGTTGCTCGGCCAGCTCAGCAAGGTGAAGCGACTGCAGGACCACTACCAACCACAACCCTTCTTGCTCGGACTCTGTGGCATGTTTACCCCGCCACCAAGAAGCCTTGCAGATAAATGTCGAATCCTCCTGGAATTCCAAAAACAGACCCGCCCGGTCTTTGTGCATACTCGCTTGACCACTGCCAGAGTGACTTTGGAAACTGGAATTCTTCTGGGACTCTCATCCAACGTCATCACTGATATTGGCGTGGCTCTTTTGGGCTGGCATAGGTAGCCACAGATGCGCCCGCGGGCGCAAACATGAAGCTCCGGGGCGTTGAGCAGCATCAATTGAGTGATGAAAATAAAGCCCAATCGAATAGCGAGGCGGGCGATACTCGCGGGCCACATCCGCAAAACTCTCACCATTTTTGATGGCTTGACGGCGCTGGGCTTGCCCCACTCTCCTCCGACCCGGCCCCTCTCCCCGACAATGCCCATCTGAACTCAATCTTGAGTTGCATCTCCAACCATGTTTCGACCACTGCACAGATTGTTGCGACCAACCTCGCTCGGACTCGAAGGCAAACCCCGAATCCTGAGTGGTCAAAGACTCTGACCGTGACATCTGGCCTCGACCCGCCTCTTTTTTTCCATCGGAATTCCACGTTTCTGGCACCTAGTTTGAAAATGATACTGCAGGGGGAGGACGAGTATGTTGGAGTGAGTGTGAAGAAACAAACCACTCGCAAGGCTTCCTCGGCCGATGATTGTAAGTTGCAAGCAAACCGACAAGGCAGAACATAGCAGTGAAGACTTCGGTTTCTGCGCGACCTCTTTGGCTACTGCAGCCTCTTGGCTTGCTTACAGGGCTCCCCGCTACTCTCCCCCTCTTCTTGAGGAACAATATGTGTCTGGCCTCGATGCATGTCGGGTGTATGTACGTACGGGGACTATTTTCAAGCCCGCAGCACGGGAGCATGAGCGTATACCTCAAAATAGCCCCGGCCGCTGTCCCGTTCCCAAAGTCTCCTGTTCCGACGGGGTCTCGACGTCCGGCGGCGCTGTTGGTTCCCAATTTCCCGCAAAGTTGCTGGCCTTTCTTTTCGGTTTTTGGCTTTCTTTGGAAGTATAAATCTATATCAAGAATTCGGACCAAAACATGTTTGTTTCGGCTTTATTCTGCCAATGCCTCGAGGTCCATGAAGCGGTTCATCGGAATAGTCTATCTAAGGTAGGCATGAAGAAGTCGGCACTTGGACCAATGGGAATAGCCGTGTGTCTATTCCCAGCTGAATTCGCGAGCACCTACCTGGATGGTAAATTAAACCCATAAGTCAGAGATTGAAGATATTTTCTTTTCAATTTGGTTATGTTGCTATTCTTGAGATCAAGAAAGACGTCGGTCTCAGCTAGATCGGTCCTTTCGGCCCAACGGGATATTCCTCACCTCTTCTGTTTTGGTTTTACGATCGACATCGCTTCCTACTGCTGCCGCCGCGGCCGCCGCCGCTAGGCTGGTGGTCCCTGATGATCAGTCCCTCCCGGGCCGGAACGAGACTAGACTAGACGTCCTAAGCTGCCTTGGCATAAAAGATCGTCCTAAGAAAAGCTCATTTTTTGCCTCACATTAGTTGCCGTCTTTTCTTAAGTTTTTGGTCAGTCAGTGAGTGATAAGCATCATCTTCTGTCTGTCAAAATCGCCGTAGGTTTTTACGGCGACGGACGGGCTCAGCTGGTGATCCGATGATGGGGAGAAAGTTTTTAAATCCCCATTATGCGTAAGAGACTTTGGCTAGACGAGAGATCATTTGCGGGGGAACGGAACTCGTGCCTTGCTCTGTTAGCCTTGTGTCAACATCACACAGTCCTCATGGAGATCACCCATGGGCTCTCTGACCTTCTCTAAGCCTTTTCTACTTTGAAACACGTTGGCATTTTCGTTTCTTTCATATGCCTTTATAACCTTGGATATTAGGAGAATCTCTTCATGCTTTGAAGAATTTAGGGCGAACCAAAAAGATAGTATAGTAATGGGTTTTTGAGACCTTATGCAATGCTTTTGATACTTAATGTTAGACGACATATTCAAAACGTTAGATGAGTTGCATTGCATAGGTCATGATAGACTCGCGCGAGCTCAGTAGTCCTGGCATGCGGTGCCTTCATCCGAGTGTGTTTGGTTCGTTTGATGGCATGGCATGGCATTCTTGTGCAATGCTTGTCATGCGTAAAGTGTCCTGTCTAATGATTCGGTGGCAATCAGTCGGCATCTATAGTGCACGATAACTTGATGATCTGGAGTTTTCTTGTAAAGAATTGAACCTGTGTCATTTGAGTCTACTTTCAACGATCCTGCGAGGACTCTCTGGAGTAACTGTAGCTTCATACAGAAGGTGGCTTGGGAGACCAAATGCCCATAGCTCTCTCTCTCTCTCTCTCTCTCTCTCTCTCTCTCTCTTTTCGTGATCGGAAATCTTGAGATCGTCCCTGCGCCAACCTGATGAGTATCCGTCGAGGTTTTTGGCGTTCCTACTGGTGTAATTTAGAATGAGTCTTGCCATGATGTATAGCATGAGACTACCTGCGACTAAAGTCATCAGAAACCTAGTTTTAAAGAAGTTGGTTAGAGAAGGTAGCATCTTGTGATATCTCATGTATATCTCCAGCGACGGGCACTGGTGATATCCACGGACTGGTCCAGCGAGACAAAAGATGCTGTGCGAACCCGAACAGAAATAGGCCATTTCCCTTTCACAATATCAACATCCGGACAGGAAATTCAATAATCATGATAATGAAAACAAAAAAAGAGTTCACCACCGATGTGGCTACATCTCTTGGTGCTCATACTGGGACTCGAACTCGGAAACTCGGTAAGCATGTCGTCGAGTAGGCATAGGGGCGTATTGCTTGTTGACCATGAACCACCTCACCACCCAGCCAGTTTGACCTGACCCCCCGACCTAGAGGGGCGCCTGCTGGCTGGTGACGGGAATGCACTTGAGGGGGTATATATGGGCTTGTTGGTTGCGGTTGTGGTGTGTATTGGTGAGCGCTGGGCGAATACACGATGACGCAGGATGAGGTTTCACTGAGTAAGGGAGATGATTCGTTTCGGTCTTGGTCCCTCGCGCCTTCTACTGTAGCTGGATGTGCTCATTTCTTAAGTAGGCCGTGATAGATGAGGTGAGATGAGATGATTCACCAGC